GTTTCCAAAAAAGTTTTTGGCTTTGCAGAGTCCATCTGCTCCTCACCCTCTCGGACCTACTCGACTTTTACTTTTCTCGTCATTTTATAGATGTCATGAAAGAGAGCCCATAGATATATTTCCTCGAAAAGAACATAAATCCACTTGGAATTTACTTCTGAGCAGTCGGGGAGACTTCCATAGTTGGGTATTGGAGAAAAAACCGGTTAATTATGTGCTGTTGTAAGATTGTAACTGACCGTCAAATATAATAGGACAATCCAAACTTTGAAACTGGCAAAAAGTAAAAGCTATGAAATAACTACTTTAAAAAATAATAGGACAATCTTTTTAGGTCTCAATCAAATGACCGTCAGCACTAAACTTTAAACTAATTTTACAATATAAGCTTTGACAGCCACTTTGTATCGATCAGTCGATGTGTTGGCTTGAAATGCTGTCTCCAGTGACCTAAATTCAATGTTGCATTTCAAACTTAAACAAAATTGTACTATTTATACACTTAAATATTATTGTAATGTTAAATTGTTAAGTACTATACTTACTCTAGGCAAGTATTCTGGTTATAGATTAATTGAATAAGTTGTTAATATTAATTATGAATTTTAGCGACTATTTTCAATGAGGGAAATAGAAAGCTAATGTGAACACTTTATTTAGGCCACAAAACGGCGTCATTTCTATTACTCCATATTCGCTGGCCGCACGAATGGATTCGTCCTGTTTTCAAATTAATGCAATGCCGCGGAATGTCGAGTGTCATTAAATATTAACAAACTCGCAACTTCCAGGTGATAAAGCAGTCAAGCACTATTCAGTTGGAAAACCTACACCAGACCGAGCTCGGTACAGAGATTGAAACTCGAAAATTTAAGTAAAAAACGGTGGCTCCGGTTTTTTAATTAAATTTTCCAAGTCCAGAGGGCCCTAGTCACCGAGCCCGACTCCGTAGCCCATTGACCTGATGCGGATCTGTTGGCTGGAGAGTGCTGGTGCTTCCATTAAAACCACTAGAGTTCACTGAACCTTCAGTATGATTTATAATTATGAACATCTATCTACCTGTATACTAAGCAACATTTATTATGATTTCTCGACTTCAAGGGCTAGCTGGAAGAAAATTCTAACAAAGCCTTTACTGAAAGTGCTCTTTTGCACTGTACAAAAATTAAATATTTATGATCGTACAATGTCACTACCATCTATGTTATTTCTGTGTCATACAGCACATTCGATTTAAAGCGAAGACCTCATGATTCATAGAAGCGCCACAACATTAATAACAGATTTATTCTGGTACTTACGTCATTCGTTGCGTTTGCCGTTTGTTAAATTAAACGGATTTCTTTCTACCGATATTTACAATTGAAACTGGATTGTAACACCCTTAGGAATAATTACATGCATTTGAAGAAGCCATACTCAACTGCGAAAACGTAATGGCCTGTATGCCACACATATGCAGGCAAATGCCATCACTTCAGAGGACAGTCTTTCCGCCGCTCCCTTATTTCTTAGTGAAATTCACATAATATTAATATCTAGTATGTGAATAATATTTATTCCCCCAGAAGTGCAGGTTCCTCTAGGTCTTCTTGCCTCTTCGTTAGATTCTTAAACGATCAATGCTTATATGCCATAAGATCATATAACTTATTTGCAATTACCGCCATCATTTAACTAAATTATAACAAATTCTGAAAATTTAATTAAATCTGCGATCATCCGTCATCCATCGGATTACTGAGTGACCATAAACCATTCGTGATTCAGCGTCCAGTGAGTCACTTGCGCCGAGATAGGCGCCAAATAATACGGAAACATTTAACCGATATGACATTATAATATTATTAAATGGTTTGGAGAGGCACAGATGCGGGCGGATATCGTCGGTACGGAGCAAAGTTTATATAATTATAGTATATTTTTGTAAAGTAACGTATATTATGTCCCACTGCTCGTCAAATGCCTCCTCTGTACAGAGAGTATTAGGGTAAAATCCACGCAACGACACTACAGATTGACGGAGTTCATATATTTTTTATTATTATTTCAAAAGCATGGTAGGCATGCATGCTGTAGTAGAGGCACGCAACAGTTTTCGCTGTTGCACGAATGGGTAGGCTGATCCGGGATATTAGCACGACCGCACAGAAGACCGTCGCGAGTGAGGTAGCCAGGGCCTCTAAAAGGTGGCAACGCATCTGCGACCCTACGGGTGTTACAAATGTCAACTTCTCAAATAAAAAAAGCCCGTTTCCTCACGATGTTTCCCCTCACCGCCGAGCACGTGATAATTCAGCACAGTACCGGCACCGTTACTCGAACTCTGGTTGCTGGAGCATATTCATATAAAAGCGAGCGACCGGACACTTAAGTTATAATAAAATTTTTTAAGCGATACGATACTTCTGATTTATATAGTCTTTAATGTCTTGCAATCTCTCTTGTTTCACGGTACATATCAATCTTGTGACGAAACGGTTAGGAGAAACAATGTAAACGAAAGCAACTTTAAATAAATTTATACGGATTATGTACGGTATATTATCTTTGGATGTAATATATCTCAGTGCCGTGTTGGCTGTGTCCGGGTGCTCGCCATTAATTCAATTTACTCGAGCAAGCTGAGTTCGATTCCCGGTTCCAGTGCCAATGAAATTGTTAATTTTAAATGCTTAATTATCACGTGCTCGACGGTGAGGGAAAACATCGTGAGGAAACGTGCATATTTTCTAAATAATAACAAAAAAACATACTTCGAAAATATGTGAAGTCCGCCAACCCGCAGTGTGGAGTCGCGTGATGGACTATGCCCTGATACCACCTGTACAGGGGAGGCCCTTGCTTATCGGTGGGACATTTATAGGCTGTTACTTTACCTCGGGGCATTGCGCTTCTTTGGAAATGATAAAAAGTGACATTCGAGCCTCGTATTTTCAACTTCATTTTCGAACCGTATACAGAACTGGTGACGACTCATCCTGTTGGTATTACGTGCACGGCATCCCAAGGATCGGAGAACGATGTATTACGTAGTGCGTGTATCCACATCTAAGAGGGAAGCCAGCCTCAATCGCTCCTTCCTTTAGCCCACATCGTCTCATTTGTATCTCATCGCATCCAATTTATGTCTATAGCGTTAGATTTGAATATTTAGACCATCTCTTTTTATTATCTATAGAAAATCTCTATACTATTCACAAGTGGATAAATATGAAATGAGTCTGATATCAAAATAATGCCATTTAACGATATAACGTTAGATAGATTAAAATCACTTTTTACAGCAAATTATCTGTATATAGTAATGAATCATTACATATCATCTATCATCATTTTCTTACTTCATCTGTTCATTATAAACACCGATTGGTCAGACGAACAATTCAATCCCCGTCTGTTGAGAGAATCGCTTGCAATCATGTTGGTTAAAAGCTGTCTAATAACAGCAGTTATATGCGTTTTGCAGCCTAATAATAAAATTTGTGTATTTAATTCCTTTTTACTATAAAGTGAAATTAGTAGGAACCGAAAGAGATTTACAAGTGGAAAGAAAGAGTAATTTTCATGCACTGTAATTAAAATATTTTTCACCAATAAGCTTTTACAATACGGTGGTCTAATTAATTTTCTAAAGTTATGATCACTCAATTTCTCGATACGTACGGAAGCTTCTCATCGTCCCTTGTTAAGGTATTGGAGACACGTTCAAAACTTTTTATTTTTTATAATGAATATGATATACGTTGGCCTCAGATGAGTACTTGCTATAAATCTCGTGTCTTCGCATCACATGCTGGCGTTGTATTTTTTACTCGAGCGGTCTCCGACGGCCATATTGGCGGAAAACGTGTTCAACGGTCGCCTCAAGTTGTGACCACTTACGTAATCTCTTTTAATAAACGTCGCCCGTTCCGCGGACGGCTTCCGATTATTAACACGGTTTATAATAGCTGCAAGTCAGCCACAACTTGTTGACTTTTCATTTTAAATATGCTGGACTTGTAAAGTTTAGAAATTATAGGTTTTAATTTTTGCCACATTTATTTATATTATTTTAGTAATGGCGGTTGAGAAATTTTTAGAGGAAGTGTAGATTTATAGAATTAAAGCTTTTATATTAAACTTAAAGAGGAAGCTTATGCTCTCATTTTTTTACCTTCCAAGTTTCAATACGCAAACGTTTCAATACGCGGTGTTGAACTAGTAGCAACATATCAGATACTTGTGGGTTTTCTCACATTTTTATTTAAATATGATTTTTCTACATACGCGCTGAATGTTTTTATTTATATTTTATTTATAAAAATCATATTTACAGTTCCATCTTGAGTACAGAGGCTAGCGCTAAAATAAATATGTATTAATCCTAGAAAAATCACACTATTAAAACTTAATTTCTTTAAATTATAAATATTTCAGCCCACCTCTATCTCTAGACTATATTATCTCTCTATATTATCTCTCTAGACCCATACGAAGTAAAACTTGTACTGTTGATACAAAGTAGCTGACAAACATACATACTTAAACATAGTTTTCTTTTGTAAATAAGTAACAAGTATGTATTTATGTATTTATGTATAAACTTGAAAACTCTGTTTATCATACAGTATCTCTTCAGTTGTAGGATCTAATCTTCCTTAACTCTCAGGGCATCAAATATTTCATTACTATAATCCAATCCAATCCAATCTACCTTTTGCAGTCCACTGCTGGACATAGGCCTCCCCAAAAGTACGCCACAGAGTACGATCTTCCGCTTTCCTCATCCAGCCACTACCAGCGACCTTTCTCAGGTCATCATTACTATAATAAAGAATAAAAACAAAGGAGCATTTTAAAGACACGCCATCTCAGTCCACCATCTGATAAACCAGATCAAGTTAACCAGAAGACATATCTTGTTAAATTTAAATTTCATTGATTATACAAACTAGTACTAAAACTGAAACAATCCTAAAATCAAGCCGTAATATCCCCCTCTCCGTCCGCAGGTACAGATGGATAAAGAACGGCAAGCCCTTCGAGTACTCTAGCTACGACAACCGCATCTCGCAGCAGCCGGGCCGCGGCACGCTGGTGGTGAGCCAGCCGCGAGACGAGGACCTGGGCCAGTACCAGTGCTTCGCCTACAACGAGTGGGGCACCGCCACCTCCAACTCGGTGTTCGTCCGAAAGGCCGAGCTGAACTCGTTCAAGGAGGCGGACGGACCGCAGCAGACCATCACAGCGCAGGAGGGATTCCCCTTCAAGCTCACGTGCTCGCCGCCCGACGGCCACCCGAGCCCGAACGTGTACTGGATGCTCCAGGGCGACCAGGGCCAGCTGAAGACGATCAACAACTCGCGCATGACCCTCGACCCGGAGGGCAACCTCTGGTTCTCGAACGTGACGCGCTACGACGCGAGCAACGACTACGCGTACACGTGCGCCGCCAAGTCGGTCTTCAGAAACGAGTACAAGCTGGGCAACAAGGTGTACCTGGAGGTGCAGCAGACGGGCATATCGCCGGCGCTGAACAAGCACGAGCCAGTGAGGCAGTACACGTCGCGCAGGGTCGAGAAGGCGTGGCGCGGCAAGAAGGTGGAACTGTACTGCATCTACGGTGGAACGTGAGTTTTTTATTTTTTTTTTTTTTTATTATTATACGGTCAGTCACTGTTGTGCTTTAGGAGACCTTTACAGATCTTTATAGCGCCTAGCCTAAACCTTGTTTACGAATGATTAAGTCCGAGGGTTATCTCGGGAGCATGGCCCGGACCGTCACTCTTTTAGTATTTATATTGGATATGGAAGCCGCTATAAACTCTTTGGTCGTTTTGTCGGACACTCTATGGAGTACAAGGCGCAAGGGCGGGTCCCTGAGACCTCGACTTGGGCTGTTACTCAAAGAAATTCTGCCTCGAGGGTGCGCAAGAGGGCCGGACCTCGGCTCGATCGATAGCTATTGTGGAGTTAGAAACAGCGAATGTTAGTGATTTCCTCATCTGTCCGCGAGATTCTGCTTACGAGGGCGGTGGAAGCATACTGTATTATCTAAGTGTTTTCGTATTTTATTTAAATTTTTATTGGGAAAGTTTTAAATTTAATTTCGGCCTATGTCCCAGTTAAGTGGCGGAGTTTGAAATAATGTTTCAGAAACGGTTCGTTTCGTAGAAGTTCATAGCGTATTTCATTTATTTCATAACAACAACTACGAGCAAAGTTTAAACGCGCCCCAGTTAAATCCAGCCTTGCGCTATTTAGCGGGCGCACTGTGACCCAATTTCACCAGCGAAATTCGAGCAATATCAATCGACCTATTTTTTTTTCTAACAACCTCGATGTACGGCAAATGGCATTTCGCAAAATCTGAGTTATTTGAAAATATACAACCTCAGTTAATGAACACACTTATGAGGCAAAAAAAGAAAACTCAATTGATATCGTTAATTTGTTCAAATTTTTTCTCAAGCTCCATGTTAATTTTTCCCTAGTCAATTATTAAAAGGCACTTTTAACATGAAACCCTTACGCCCGATTCCTGAAACACTAATCATCGTAGAAGTATTACGATCACATTGATCAATTCAAAGAGTTTAACCATCCTTTTGACAACTCCAATAAAATTTAAAAATCGCTTTGACAGCTGATTAGTTGACTTCTACGTTGATCAGTCTTTCATAAACCGGGCGTTAATCTTTGATCTTTAACGATCGGCGGGGTTGGCGGGCGCGTGACGTCATAACCGATAGTCACGTACCTAAAGACCCATTTACACGGTGCAAGTTTCTTGCCTGTTGTTTACAATTAAATTGAAGCAATAAATGAGTTGCATGGTCTAAACAACAAATGGTCTAAAGGCCCATTTACACGATGCCATTTTCTTGTACATACAAGAGCAATAATTGAATGCAATAAATTGCGCGCAATAATTGTTAAGACCATTTGTTGTTTAGACCATGCAACTCATTTATTGCTTCAATTTAATTGTATACAACAGGTAAGAAACTGGCACCGTGTAAATGGGCCTTAACAAATTATTGCGCGCAATTTATTGCATTCAATTATTGCTCTTGTATGTACAAGAAAATGGCATCGTGTAAATGGGCCTTAATGCACCACTGCTATCGATCCCGCGACAAGTGCCCGCGCTGCTAGCTGCTCGCTGACGACCCGGGGTCACTGGGGTAGCCGTAATTACGCATTACGTAATACGCGCGGATATTTATAGGCGCGTATGATGAGTCAATCGCTTGCGCGTATCGAGACATACACGAGATTTTACGGTACATAATCACCGTAATGTTTCGGGCATGTATTCGCGTTAGATTTGGATTTTTTGCCATGCGCCTAGAGAGGCGGCGGTTTACCTGATTTAAGACTGGGGCTAGAGCGTTAGTTTTAGTCAAAGTTCACCTGATATAAAATGATAACCGCCGCAACATTTGCAACGCCCATAGGTTTGCAGATGCGTTGCCACCTTTCAAATAAGGTGGGCCCCGGCGATCTCACTCACCAGACGTAACGCAGAAGTAACACTTCCACTTCACCCCGAACTTGTGAGAGGTCGTTGCACTTATCAGGACGGACCTGCCCGCGCGTGCAACAGCGCAGACTTGCGTGGCGCTACCACAATTCAAATTTGTTGATTGCCTAAAATCGTTTTTCTACGTAGTTAGTTTAGATACAAGACACAATTTGGATCTTACATTCGAATCGAATAGTTATTAGTAATTTCTAACGTATTCAATATGCAATAGTGAAATGCACTTGTCTTGTGTTAAATGAAAGTGTGCGATATAAACATTTTGAAGAAAAAAAAAACGCCGTATAAATAATTGTATCTGAAGATCTTTTAACGTCACATATTAAAGTGACGGTATGTGCAATTTTATGTTCATCACTTTATATATTTAGAACGACCCTATCACATTGACGCTATCGATTCGCTCAACGGGCAATCGTCATGTATGAGAAAAACGGAGTGAATCAACCTCGACCATTCGTTTCTGTATGCGTCATACTAAGGGCTCATGGTTAAAAAGAGTGAATTAGAGGGGCTATATCCCGTAATAAACGCACCTTACAGTTTATCAAAAGAAAACGCTAAAACGAACACGCATAATATACGAACACGCTGCTATAAGTGAAATGATATAATAAATTCTTAAAAGGGTTTCCGTGTTTAGTAGGCTCATTCCGTATTTAGTAGGTTCTGCATAACGTTTTATTACTCAAATCCTTTTGTAATAAAAAAAATACTCCCGCTGTAATATAAAATCGTTCTTGAATAAATTTTTCCAACACAAATTCTCCCTCGTCCGAAAATATCCTTAGATTACATAAATACTTTATTATAATATAAGGAACTGAGGCGCCTAAGTCAATGACGTCGTCTACTACTCATTATTATTTCTAAGGCCGTCGCTGGCCATAATTTTGGCTTTTGGTATCATTATTGATGATAACCACTTTGTGTGTATCATTGATATCTAATCGATGATTCCTTGTAGGTATTGTTTGAGTACGCAAACGAATTCGATGACGTTATACGTGCTGACTTAAGGGTAATTAAGGGCGTCCAGCCTGAGGTAGTTTTTTATGTGAGAATTTGCCGAGTGAGTTTGCAGTTCACCTGATGTTAAGTGATAAACAATGGGCGGTGCCCATTGACATTTGCAACACCCGTAGGATAGCAGATGCCTTGTCAGCTTTAATTAAATCAAGTGGAGCCCAGGTTACCTCACTCACCAGACGAAACGCAGAAGTATAACTTCACTTCACGCCGGTCTTCTGTGAGTTCCTACTACTTATCCGGACGGACCTGCCCATTCGTGCAACGGCGAAGACTGCCGCATGCCCCTGCCACATTTAAGTGATTTAACTCAGTAATTCGCCAAGAGCGATCGCACTAATGTGTTATGTCGTAGAAGCATTATGATTTCTTGTCGGGGGTTCTACTCGAGACTTCGCAAACAATTCTAGTGCAGTCAGCAATAACGGCCGCACGCTAAGGGTATATTTTATTTATTTATTTATTTATTTATTTAAACTTTTACACCAAAAAAATTAGTATTGTGTATAGGCGGATTTAATGCCTAAGGCATTCCCAACCAGTCAACCTATGGGCGACGCAGAGACAAAAGAGGCAGGTGTAAAAAGTTTCAAATCAAATTTTAAGTTAAAATAAAAGTTATATACATATTCATATCATATAAATGAAAATATATAAAGTATATAAACATACCTCGGACCGTAGGCCGCTGCCGCAGATAGTGTGGAAGAGGAACGGCAGCCGCATACTGTCCTCGCAGCGCATCACCCAGGACAACTACGGCAAGACGCTGGTGATCAAGCGCGCCGGCTACGAGGACCAGGGCACGTACACCTGCGAGGTGAGCAACGGCGTGGGCACAGCGCAGACCTACTCCATCCAGCTGAACGTCGAGGGTGAGTAAGCTAGCCGACATCTTTTTTTTTTTTTTTTTTTTTTTTTTTTTTTTTTTTTTTTTTATTATTAATTATCAGAGTAAATACACTTGTTTCGAAAAAACGTTAAGTTCGCCAAACTAGGAATACGGTTTATTGGCGAAACTGCACTCATCTTCTATTTTTCAGGTTCTATTCGGCTGATTGTATTAATTTTAAAAATAAGCTATAAACAAGTGGAATATAGTTTAAAAAACTAAAAAAAAACCCGATTGCGTTTCTGTGTAATTTTTTATTTTGATATACCCAGTGTCACTCTCACAAGAAATACGAATAAATACAAGCTAAAATCCATCAAGTTCCAAACAGTTATACGTACAGACATTCATACTCTCGAAAAACATAACCTTCCTTCTGGCACAGTCGAGTAAATATAGGGCACCTAAATATTTTAAAAAACTTTTCGTCCGTTTTTTCTAAAACTCAGTGTTTCATCATAAGTGCTGAGTTTAGCATTATAAAAAAAAATAATTTCTCTATGGTATACGTCAATAAATCTAGTATATTATGGATAAAGTACAGAACACACCAAGATGTATTTCTTATTTATTAAAATATTTTCTTAAAAAAACAAAGCATTTCTTATTCATCTAACTGAAATACATAATTTTTGGGAACTATTTACTTTTTTAAGAATAGCCGATCCGAAGTACAGCCCAATGTTGTATTATATAAGATTGGCCACCCTAAGTAAAGGTGACCTTCCTGTTTACAGTATGTCTATATTAGTGTATTTAAGCTGCTGTCTTATATATATGTCTAATATAATTTTTCTTTAAACGGAAACCATTTCGAGTTATACATTGTTACCATATTTGATTTTATAATTAACATGAAAATTAACCTTCCGTATATATGTTTACTTTTACAATATTTTCGTAACGTTTACAGTTTAACAACATGAGTAATAAGCATACATAATATAAGCATACGTAGGAAGGAATCGATTTGTTCACAAGCTCGTTTGCACCGTGCCGTTTAGTGCAAAAGCTTCGATTCCGTACGAGGTTAAGCGTGCCCACAGTTTTTAATGGCGCTCAACATTTCTCATGCGAAATTCAACTCTAAAGCGCAAGTTTTAGAGTGCAATTTATCTAAAGTCCTTCGGCCATTGCATCCGCGCATGTTAAAACCGCGAGGCTGCATTGCAAAGGTGTGCCGTAACACGGCTTGGAGGCGACGAGAGAGCATTTCCATACAAAGGAGCGATCCATTTCGCGTATGGTGACGCGTCGTATGAGACTCTCGTTAATGAACGTCGAGGTATCCTTCTAGTGACCTAAAATCAGTCTTTCTGAAGTGAAAACTTCAAAAGGCACTATGGGCAATGATATTATATACAAATACGAGGCGAAACTGAGGCACTCAAATTACACCATATGGTATAATTACATTGCAGTTTTATAAAATGCTATCTCTTCAAAAATATTAGCTTATAGTCGACAATTATGATCTATTATCGTACGTATATAGAAGGTAGTGTTATTTTCCAAGATAATTATTATACATCTATAGCTTGATATTGATGGCGTGTTGATTTTTTTTCTATAAAAAAAATTGTATAAATTCTGAACAAACCGTGAAATAACAAAACTTTAGTCATGAAAACGTCACCGAAACCAATAAATGTTTATATCCAGTTTTAAGTGTGATCGGTGAGACAGGTGACTTGCACGCAATGTGACACGATACGACACGAAAGTCATTTCGAATATTACGAAAAGAGTTTCATTATTCGCCCCACATCCATTTCCCCCTTCATTAAACAGAACGTGGATGGAAATCAAATACGAGACGTGAAAAGTAAATTCGTCTCACGTTATTTCTCGAGTCGCTTTTTGCACGTAAAATATTGAAATAATAGAGACACTTTTCTATCGGGAGGCCGGCTTCAGACTTTATTTTCTCTTAAAAGGCATGCCTACTCGTCAACTAAGGTTCTTTTACTTTTAGAGACACCTCTACAGTTTATGAGCGCCGAAGAAATAAAGAGATTGGCGCGGTTCTTTTTCTTCTTGTTCTTAGCTGCAAAATATACGGTGGTATTTTAAATAGGCACAAGAATATTGTTTTCATCGATGAAGATTTGTTGTAGAATCAAAAAAGCCAAATTTCTTTATTTAACATAGGCTTGTTATAAACTCGCATTGAATGACAAAAACTCCCACCGATTCAATCGGCGGGAGTAGTTAGGTAGGTAAATATCGGCGGCAGTCCTGCAAGTGTCATATCCACACATCCTTGACCTCAATGTATTCTTCGACATTATAATAAGCCCTTCTCATTAAGTAAGCTTTTACAAAATGTTTCATTTTAGTAGCATGAGACACCAACCAGCCTTTTAATTAATGTCTATTTGGTTCCCGCGACTTCGTCTGCGCAGGATTAGTACTTCGAGTAGTTTATGTACATCCGAAGGTCCTATCTAAATACCAAAATTCATAAAAATTGGTTCTGCTGATTAGACGTAAAGGCTTTACAGACAGACATAGTTAGTTTGAGGCCCTTGTATCTTTATAATTTATAGCCTAACCTAAATCTTCATTGAATTCGGTGCCATCAAAAATTACAGCGTAGGTGGCAAAAAGAATATCAGAATATGGCCTACCATTGTCCAATTCGCACGACCAACACTAGGCTCACAGGAACTAGGCGTGGGATTATTTTCAACCAGGAGTGTAATACAATTCGCGCAAGTTTTAGGTCTTCTTTGTTCCCGAATCGATTAGTTGTATGTATATCGCCCGCTGCGGCTTCTGTTGCCCTGGTACATACACAGAGGGTGTAATGCATTGCGGTGTGTTGTATTTCAAATGGTGTGGAAAGTGTCTCATATCGGACGATACGGCCCGCGGCATCCGCGAAGGGCTGTTTTATTTTACGTCGTTAATTCAGTTTATACCTACCTGAGCATGCATTCCTGGTACTTGTTTTGGGTTGCCAATATATAGTTGTAGTCTTTCTTAGAGGATTAATTTTGATAGTGTTACTTCTCTCTGCACTTTGGAAATTTAAAAATTTGTTAGAAAATGAACGAAAAATTTTTCGCCGCTTGTCCAAAGTCCAAAGAAAAAATAGGCTTTTAAATTAATAATATTACACGTATTCAATGTAAAATAATTATTGAGTTTAATTTTGTCTGTACCACAATACAAAGATTGTGTGGACCGCCTTCGGAATTCGTCTATAAGAAGTGTCGCATTGGTGCGTGGTGAAAAACACCAGAAAAAACATTAAAAACTTAAAGCGTCAAAGAACAATTTATTAAGTTAATTTTTAAAACTTGTATCGTTTCTTCAATAGCACTGTGTACAAGTTCTCTCCAAATCTTTCTCTTTAAAAACAGCATTTTCTTAATCTTCATTGTGTGTTTATACTTTACTTTGACTAATGGTTTTACTTTTATTAAAGCTTCTTAGAACTCGGAGCTCGTGTGACAACTAGACACATGAGCTTGTCTTGCCTATAGTTTCGTTATATGCGATGCTCATAGTCATACGAAATGTTTAAGCGACTGTGTACCAACGCATTTGGAAGTGTGTCCACTTCCTAATTGTAACTTCCCCTGCTCGGCCCTGTCGCTCGAAACGGCGCTTGCGTGACTCGATAATTAGGCCCGTGACACTCTTTAACGTTTTGTTGGCGCCGAATAACACGTCCGTTGCTCGTACTTATAATAACGTAACGGATACGTTGACGGTATGGTTTTGCGTCAATTGGTAAGATTTTGAGTGAGTGAAAACTGAAAACCCAATTACAAATTGCACAGAATATAAAAATACGTATTTCTTTGTTGCAACAAAGAAAAAAACAAGAACTGTGTTGAGCTATATTCCATTTAAGCACGTCTTCTATAAATGTGTTATGAAATGATGGCAGGCGCGTATAAATTTAAATTAAATCGCTGGCACACTTTTGCCTGGAACACAGCGAGCTTATATTTCCGTGAAAAATTGCAAATGATCGTTCCTCAGCCGGGCATCCTTGCCGTGAGCGGATCAAGTGTCTAGTTACTGGGTCAACGGGAACTCGAGTAGTGACGTCATAATTGTGGCCCCGCGACGCGCAGCGGGCGGCCGAGTTGCGCGCCAAATTCGAATTTCCGCCGCGTTCGAAATTCGAGTGCGATTTTTTGGCACGTTCCTCTCATTAATCCTGCCAGTGTCGTGCTTATTAAATTAATAGCTTCGAAGAAAAATAATTTATTGTATTATAAAAAGATAATTGGACCATAGAGGTCAACGATTCATAGAGAAAATAAATATGAATATTTTATATGCAACAAACAGTACATAAAGTATGGAATTTTTTTTGTTGTGAGTTTTAGTCAGTTTTCATTCTCGCTAATACAGAAGACACAATTTGAGTACGAAATATATGTATAAGATCGTATGAGTTTTGCCGTTGGTTTCTCACCTGAGTTAAATATCTGTTGGTCTCATCTGCCACGAGACGGAAACACGAGAACGATCATGCAGGAAGTCGTCCTAACGTTTCATAAATATTTTCTGTTATTTGAACTTACGGTTTATATTGTCGGCTTAACCACTTGGATGACGGGTTAACCACACGACAGTGGTGATGAGGGATAATAGTAATAACCATTTAATCTTCTCAATACAGAATACAGAAAACAAAAAGACATTCAGGGCAATAAAAAAAAAACTAAAAATTAAGAGAAAAAAAGTAAGAATGAAAAAGTTATTGTTTTCAATGCTCTATTTAAATTATTTTGCGTTTTTTTAAATCAAATCTTCCCATCTGAGTATTATTAATTAAAATTTAAGCTATATAAACTTGTAATTAAAATATACAGGGAGGCTTTTCTAATTGTATCCATTTTTTATTAAAATGTAGACATAAATAATGTTATTTAAAAAATTATAAAATCACTCGTAATTAATTAATTACATTCATTTGAACTTATCTCATAAAGTGCATGATTTATGGGCAACTCATTTTTTTTACGCGCGATCATTTATAACTAACACGCACACAAGTTCGTTTCAAAAGTATAAGACGCATTCATGTATCAATGACTTCCGCATTGTCAACAAGTTCTGTTTTTTAGAGAATAGAATGGCTATTTTTTTTGGAAAAAAAAGTTTGTTTTTATTTCAATAAACGATTGTACTACCGAGTCTGAACCTCCTGTGTGAATTTGGGCACCTTTATAAAAGCCACCCTGTATGGCATAATATATAACGATTAGGCAATCGTTATATATTTAGATAATACCGTACGCCTGGCATATTATGACGTCTATGACATATTTGACTTTAAAGTATATATTATATATCCTTATATATATATATACTTTAAAAAAAACCTATATATAGACATATCCTTATTATCTCTATTCGGTGGTGCAATTTCTAAGATTTTATTAGCTTCGGCGTCGGGGGTCGTGGGTTCGATTCCTTCACTCTCAACAAGTATTTGTGTGACCCACAAGATAATTTTTCTGCATCTGGGTAGTTGTTCCCAAGGTGGGTTCTCATATTCAACCCCGCCTAACATAATAGAGGGAGGATTATGATCCTTTTTATTTCTGTTATTTAAAACTAAACATAAATTAATGACAAATTTAGTTTCCGGATTCGATGCAAACGTTATCTGTATCTCATGTGGGCGTATGGCGATGCATCGAGCTTAGTTACATTACAGTAGCCTTGTAGTGGCCACGTGTCATTCCTTACCGTTACGTCGTCATTGCGACCCTAGCGCCCGTTTTCAACATAGATCTCTAACGTTAAGAGACACCTAAGAAAAATTTTATTGTTTCGTTTTCACCACCGCTTAAGTGTCACCTAAAAGTCTTAAGCGTACCCTTAAAGTTAGGGATCGATGGTGAGAACGGCCATAAGTCCTCCGAGTTGGGAGAATCTACTACATGCTGAATTTTATATTTCGGATAACGTCATTTCGTACTGATATTATGCCAAGTGAGACACTGAAATTATTTGGACGAGTTTCATGCAATACTCGAATTTATTGTCTGAGGTTTTGGGAAATGTATCACGTCTTGCATATACTACATATATATTCGAGTTCGTTCGGCGTATTGCTCGCCGTATATAAACTTCATATGCGGCTTGTAACACGCCGGCTGTTTTGCGGTCGCGGTGAACTGAAGACCCGTATGGACTCTACCCCACATTTGCCTACGCTCAATTTTGCGAACAGTTGGTTATTACGTATCATACGCAATGTGCAACGTTATTGAACACAAATTAAGTATTCCTGACGGGGCTTCGCGAGATTCGATTACGTTGTCAGATGTTTATAAGCAATTGAAATGATTTCTTTAATTAGGACTTATTTAAATTAACTTAATTTGTCTATAAAATGTGGTAACATCCGCCTTAATTAAGATCTATCTGAACACTAATGTAAGGAAACATAAAAACTTCGGGTTTAGTCGTAATGTTTTCATGTTTATATTGTCGGATCTAAGTCAAAAAGTAAAATTTAAAATGATTAATAATTTGCAATTACTAACAAAGTAAATTCAAGCAAAAATCCTTATATTATCGCCACCATTTTATAAGAAACACTGCGTTAGCCACGCATTAACTTTTCTGCATGGGTTGACCATGCAATTGCCACAGCCTTCTTTACCCGACTGTCCAAAAAATGGTAATGTTTTTCGAGCGTATGTTTTTAAAATTTTTAGACGCGCTTTATGGCTTAAACCTTTGACGGATTTCAAAATATGAGATGTCATTAGATTATTCTTAGTTGTGAGAGTGACATGTTTCATTAATTATTTACTGGTTGCTATTTTTTTTTTTTCGATTTTAACTAATGTCATTTAAGGTATCTTATTCAAGAATACATTCAAATAATATTTTTGAAAAAAATATTAGTTAATTGAGCACTAGATGTATTAGAGTGAATTATATTTAAAAACAGACTAAACGTATCCGGCATCTCATTGCAAGCGGGTAGTGTATTGCCCGTACAACAATATTTCGTTAGCCGTAACTATTTTCCCTTGCGTGACGCTCTCCGTCTCTTGCATTCAAACAACCGACTTCCACCAAGCAATCGAGTGACCCTCCCCCCTCCCGCAGCGGCGCCGTTCTTCACCGAGGAGCCGCAGTTCCAGAACCTCGCCGAGGGCGAGACGGCGGTGATCAGGTGCCGCGCGGGGGGCACCCCCGAGCCGCAGATCGCGTGGGTGCACAACGGCCGCCCCATCGAGCAGGCGGAGCCGAACCCCAGGCGCCAGGTGACCGCGGACTCCATCATCATCAGCGACCTGCTGAAGAAGGACACGGGCAACTACGGCTGCAACGCGACCAACTCTAACGGATACGTGTACAAGGACGTGTACATCAACGTGCAGTGTGAGTGCCGCCCTTGTGTATTACACACTTGCAGGTTGTGGTAGCGGCGCGTGACGATTTTCTCTGTTGCGCGAATGGGGAGCCGCGTCCGGGTGAGTACCACGAGCTCGCAGAAGACCGGCGTGAGGTCGAAGTATGATACTAAGGCGTTTTGTCTGGTGAGTGGGGCAGCCGGAGCCCAATTTTCAAAAGGTTGTCAACGCATCTGCAACCCTCGGGTGTAGCAGATGTCCATGGGCGGCGGTATTCACCTAATATCGGGTGAAACGCCTGCTCGCTTGATAAAGTTTTCATATTAAAAAAAACTAATAGGTTTAGTTGGCTCTATCGCTGGGGGTCGTGGGTTCGATTGCCGCGCCGGATTGCTTGTGTGACCCACAAATTATTCAGGATTTGGCAGTTTGCTTCCCAAGTTTGTCAGGCAGGCCGGTATCTAATACAATTGACATATGGAAAGAGACTCCTGGATTCATGGGTGACCCTGTTGTGCATAGCCTGTCGTTGTTCGGGCCATATTAAATTTAATTAGAAGAATCTACAATATCGGAGCCCGGAATTCACTCAGAGATCTTTTCAAAGAGGTTAATATACTCACTGTTGCTTCTCAATACATTTATTGTAATGTTTTGTATATACGTCATAACCTTAATTATTACCTAAAGAATAGTGACAGACATAAAATAAACACTAGAAATAAGGACAAACTTACTACGCCATTGTTTCATCTACAAAAAGTAAATAAGTCGTTCATGGGGCAAAGTGTGCGCATGTATAATAAAATCCCACAGTCGATATTAAGTCTGCCTTTTGACCAATTTAAATGTAAAATTAAAAATCAACTGATGATTAAAGCATATTATACCATTTCGGAATATCTCGACGACGCCAATGTGTGGAGTTAATACTGTTGATACTCACGTAGGCTAGAATAAGACTATTATACCTGTATATTATATTGTACCCTGATATTTTTGAAAAAGAGCAACTGTTGAGTTTCTTGCCGGTCTCTTCTCAACAGAAACCGCTTTCCGAACCGGTGGTACCTTACGAACCTATACACATAATCTTTGATGTAAAATTTGACGATTCATAAGAGCGCGCAAGCGTCCATTTGAATAAATATATTTTTGATTTTGATTTTGACATGTTAATAATTTTAATTACTTTTGTTTCTCGTGTTACTTGTTCATTTTCTGAGTTGTAAGTAGGGTAACGACCGTTGGTGAACCTTAATAAATCAATAAATAAAACTTTTTAAGGACAAATATTTGTGAATGAAATGTACGGTGATGCTCTGTTATATATCTGCTGAAACTTTAGGTAGAAGAAATGCGGAGTGCACGGACGGATGGCGCAGTGTTTCAAATTATCCCTTAATTGATTTCGTTCCGCCCCTACTTGTGGGTTCGATGATGACATGTGACAAATCCGTCCGTGATTTCGCGATTGTGTGATTCGAACTTCACGGGAAGTATGCGTATTAGCTACAACCAAAGTTTGTCTGCGAAGTGACAGAACGTGTTAGTCATCGGCTAAACACGCACCGTCCTAGGCCGTCCCAAATAGGAGATAATTGGTCACTTCCTACCGACCAACCAAAAAGGTTACTCTACCAGCAGCCGCGTGGTAAACCATAACAATAACTGTCAGTTACAATTGACCGTACGCAGTTCACAGTACTCCCTCTAATTTGAACTGTAACGGACGACAACTAAAGTCAATTTTTCAATGTCTCGTGTAGACGTTGGCTTTACGAAATTCTACAATTTTAGTAAACCCGGGTGCCTCAGACATGGCTGTTGTTATATCATAGATATTTTCACAAAACTCGGCAATGGAGATTCAATTGTTTGTTCGTCGAAGTTCGAGTCGAATATAAACAGTTTTACTGTTAAAGAATGAATATCTGAATGGCCGACAGTTTAAAGGTCTGCCAGTTGTGAATAGGTTATTGTAGTGACTTTTTACTCATTTACTGTCTTTTGTCGTACTCAGCTCCATCGTGTGATACGAAAAATTACACGAAAAATTGTCAGAAAAATAGTTTAAATGAACATTATAAAACTCCGTACAGTAGTTTCGATGAGTAATGGATCGATATCGGATGGCGTATATAAAATAAACAAATATTTTCTATTACATGTACTTTTTGATATTGTGACAGGAATATATTTTTTTTATTAAAAAGTGCTTCAATAAACGCCTAGATCTAGGTAGAAGGTAAAAATGGACTGTAAGTTACTTCCCGTCTCAACAGACAATAAATTCTGTAGTCAAATAAGTTTCTGATAGGTCACAATGATAACAACCGCATGGCCAAATTGAGGCAAGTCGAGGGAAATATATCAAAGTTTCGTATGAGTCGTGCATGTGGTCGTATACAAACTGGTCGACCAAACGCAGGCAGTAAATAGACTCTCATCTAATTTAGTACGCGTAGCAATTTCCATGGAAATCGGTAGCACGGAGCGGAGGACCCCAACGCTCGGTCGGTCAACACCCCTTTGTACCCTCCCCTGTAGGAGGGGTCCGACGGGGCGATAAGCACTATATTCACCTCGAGGCAGCACAATAATCCAATATCTTTTATCATATAAGTCCCCCTTACCTAATCGGATGTCTCCAATTATATTGGGTGCTTTTTTCCTTTTAATGTAATTTATTAGTATTTCATTCTGTAGTACATTTCGGGTTGCAATTGGCTTTATGCACGCGAAGAAATTAAGTGTAAAATTCGTCTATCGATTTCCACAAAATTGTCGTATGTTTTATTATATAAAGATATTTGAATGACGTGAAAGTATCTTATTATCACGCGTGTTTATATCAACTTCGATATTACTTGAGATTTTTTGGAATAAGTCTAGTCTAAGTTTGGAATAAGTTCTTAAAGTCAGCTTTTGAAGCCATTTAAGTTATTATAAGAGCTCAAGGATTAAAATACCCAACATGTGCATATTACCCACACATTAATTTATAGTTGAAATAGATTTGTTTTAGTTTTCATATCTTAAATTTATTATATTAGACGACCCGAATTGCGTAGTGGTTAGTGTACCTGCCTCCTGCGCCAGAGGGTGTGGGTTCGATCCCCACTACTGGAAAAATATTGTGTGATGAACATAGTGTTTTTCTAGTGTCTGGGTGTTTATATATCATTTATAATTTGTATTTCATAATATGTATTTATTTACATAATAAAAGTATGTTTAAGTATGTTTATCAGTTTTCTAGGACCCATAGTACAAGCGTTGCTTAGTTTGGGACTAGAAAATGTTGTGTAAAAATGTGTCCTAAAATATTTATTTTATATTTATTTTAAAAGCTTGTACGTGCCTCGAATGATCGCTTTGATTCGGTTGCTTGCCTTAATTTCGACTGCATGGAGTTCTAGTGTAAAAAAAAAACCGAACAATGAACGTGTCAAAAAACTGATGCCCATTCAGAGTTACCCTACGAAAGGAATCGTCATCAAACCCCCGCCAACATACGTCTCTCAATACTTTATACGTTCTTGCCTCCAAATGTATGCTGGAGTAGTAGTTTTTCAACCAACCAGCGCTAGACTGAATCCTTGGGAGCTCTGAGCTCGAGGTATCCTTTCAAATTCACCACCCGATTAGCTTACTACTGGTTTCAATATTCCATTTGTCTGTAGATTTGGTTACTAACGATATATGGGTACTTGACATTAATATGGATACTTGACATTAGGCCCACAATACTAACGTATAATTCAATCTCTGAAGATGAACATAGTGTTTTTTTTATGTAATGTATAATTATCCCTTTTGGAAATTGTGAGAGTACATATTTTACGCGCACAGCTACCGGCGAATTTGTCTGCAAAGCGGTCCAATTAAACTGTTATCAATTGTATTTATGGTCTTTTTCACGAACATGGAATATTGACACGGAGATAAAGTCTTCAGTTATTGTTCTTTGTTACGTTAAAGGAGTACATAAGTACACGCATAATTTTTTTAAAGATTAGTACTGTTTTTTATGGATGGAAATTTCCATTGTAGTGTAAAACGTAAAAACGTTAATACTCTAAAGATATTGAGAGAAACACTTCGATTCGTGAAAGCAGTTCGCGTTTTTGTATGCAATCAATAGAAAGCCCTTTCCAAACATTCGTTCGCAACAATCACGACCGGAATCGCTGAGTCAGATTCAGTGGGATTTTAGCCGATTGATTGCGCGCGGTTTTGTTCAAAAACTGCGAAAGCTTTTATGGCAGATATTAAAAGACATTCAGCGGAACCGCGTGCAATAACCACCTCAGCAATTGTATGATGGTTTGCACTGTTCTATTTCTTTTCTGTTCGATTCATAAATAGTTTGTTTGAATGTTTACGTTGAACTATTCCCCCGCGGCTTCGCTCGCGTTAGAAGCCCTTAACAACACTTTTTTCCAATTAAAAAATAGCCTATGTCCTTTCTCAGGCTCTAGACTATCTGTTGGTACACAGATAGTCTAGAGCCTGAGAAATTCATTTAAATCGGTTCAGTAGTTTTGGAGTGAAAGCAAGACAGCCAGAATTACTTTCGCATTTATAATATAAAATTAGTATGGATGGTCTGGATCAAGGATGAGCAACGCGCGGCCCGCGGGCCGATTGCGGCCAGTTTAACATGTTTATGCGGCCCGTCAAGCATTTCTAAAATTGAATTTATTTTATCGAATTTCTCCCATCATTAAGTGTTATAAAATTAATTATAATAAAAACTGGTATACTTGTTTAGCATCTGGGTGTTTGTCCACGTGAAATTTATGTTTATAAAACGTTCTTACAACACAGAATAATAAAATAGGGGCAATGTTTTAAAAAAAAATGAGTGAAGGTCTGTGTTGCAGCATAAGACCGTGAAACGGACGGGACTCAGTGAAATTCGAGATACAGAAACTAAAATTCGTTCTGATCCCGACACTGGTTTTCAGTCCAGCCATGATAAAATTTTAAAAATAGAAGTTCGTATGTGTCGACCCTAATAAGTGTTTTAACGTTGATCTGTAATAAAAATCCAACACCGTTTCACGGATCATCCTGAATATCGGCAGGTATATATATTATTTTTATGGTATCCTATTTGTTGTAAGGAGGTCTATTTCCTTTCCGTTCCAGTGATCGCAACGTTTAGTATAAATAAGTGCAATCGAGAAAGGAAAATATTTTCTTGATTTACACTATATTGTTTGTTACTTGCCACGTCAATGAATGCGTCTGTACGAGTTCTTTTGTGAGTTTGTGTGTTTGTGTATATGGAGAAGTCTTCTTTAATAATTGCCTATTCCGTATTACTTTTCCAATTCTAAATTCCTTATTTCTGGTATAAAAACTCACTAAAGTCTAACGGAACGTCTAAGAGATGATTTGTTTCAGTCCGTTCTTCACTACCGCTTAGAAATTTATAGTGATCGAGTAACAAAGTCGAGCCTAAGTTTTTATAATCTATCTACTTAGTGATACGTACCAGTTATGCCTTATCTAATTTGGAATCACAGGATCTATGGACTAGGGAAAGAGGTCATACATGCCACTGATTTTCTAAGGTTCATAACGGTTACGTCATAATGTTTAACTCTGTCTACATAGCCCTACTTCAGCCAGTGTTGCGCTGTTTAGATGGGTAAAAGCCAAGTATGGCAGATGTGGTTTGTTACATTTGACGACATCAGAGATCGATGCATATATATATCTCAAAACTTGGCCGTTTAGATTTATAAAGGCAAAGGTTTGAATTTGGTGAAATCGGCGATGCGTATTAAACGTTTGCTTTTATTAAGTTTGAATTTCTAATCGAGACGTTTGTCCCTGCAGCGATACCTCGTATTAAACATTTGCGTGTGTGCTCGTTTGCCGCGCATCGAGTTTGAGTTGCCAATGGAGACGTTTCCCCCGCAGCGATCCCGCCCGAGATCAAGGAGGGCCCGGAGAACCTGACCAAGGTGGACGGCTCCGAGGCGGTGCTCAAGTGCCGCGTGTTCGGCGCGCCCAGGCCCATCGTCAAGTGGATGCGCGACGACGTCGACGTCACCGGCGGCAAGTCAGTGCGCCGACTCCGCCCTTATGATAAGCCCAGCCCACTAGATCGAGGCATCCTTATCAATGGGCCCAATTCCACCGCTAATTTAACCCAACCTCACCACTAGTTTGGGCCATCATTCATCAATAAGTCCAACACCACCACTAATTCAAGCTGTTCTTTGCAATATGCCAAAAGCTACGGTGGTAGGGCCACGCAGCAGCCTCGGCTGTTGCACGAATGGGCAGGCCCGTCCGGTTAAGTACCACGGCCTCACAGAAGACCAGCGTAAAGTGGAAGTATGACAAATAGTTTCGCGTTTCGTCTGGTGAGTGAGGTAGCCGGAGCCCAATCTTCAAAAGGTTGTCAACGCATCTGTAACCCTCTGGTATAGCAGATGTCCATGGGCGGCGGTATTCACTTAACATCAGGTGAACCGTCTGCTCGTTTGACATCTTTTCGCATAAAAAAAAAGCCACCGCTAATGCTAGCCATTCTTATCAAAGAGCCCAGCGCCACTACTAATCGGAGTCGTTCTTATCGATAAGCCCAACGCCATCACATTATCAACGGTGTAAGAAAACATCACGATGAAACCTACATCGTTTCAGAAGTATGTGTCATAGTAAAAATCGAAGATATGTGAATTCTACTAATCAGCAGTGGGATTATGCCCCAATACCCTCTTCGCCCAGCAGTGGAACGTTTACATATATATGCGTTTACTTTAGTGAACCGTGGTAGGACCACGCAACGGTGTTCGCTGTTGCGAGAATGGGCAGGTCCGTCCGGGTAAGTACCACGACCTCGCAGAAGGCGTGAAGCAGAAGTGTTACACCTCTGCGTTTCGTCTGGTGAGCGAGGTAGCCGGGGCCGCACTTTTTAAAAGGTGGCAACGCATCTGCAACCGGGGGCGGTTATCAGTTAACATCGAGTGAAAAAAAAAAAGAAAATACTAATATGAAATAGTACAAAGGCGGCCACCGTCGCAGGTACAACATCACCCCCGACGGCGACCTGGTGATACGAGACGTGTCCTACACCGACGTGGGCACGTACGAGTGCTACGCCAAGAACAAGTTCGGCGAGAAGTCGGCCTACGGATCGCTCACCGTCAAGAGTTCGTACACTCCATCACACCCCGTATTTGTTTAATAAGGAGACTGACGAGAGGATTCCGTCGATCACCTTTGAGTCTTTGTCTGTTTAGAAACTTAATGTTTTTTTTTTTTTTTTTTCAAATTATGCAACATAGAAAGTTTTAAAAATCGAATGCTTGCAGAATATTAGAATCATCTATTACGTTTTGGGAAATTTCGATGTAACTCTTAAATATCTCAGGCGAAAGACGGACACAACAATTTTGTAATTTTTTTTTACATTAGGACTAATTAATATTTCTACAAAGTAATCTGCCCTAACTGTCTTTGTCAACGTCTCTGTAGAAAGGACATGTGATATCTCGCATAAAAAATTTTTTTAGTCAATATATGGAATGAAAAAAAATTAAATTCCAAATGCACGTTTGAAAAGGACAACACTGGCCACCGAGAGGCAAATAAATAAAAAAAAGCGCGCGCGTTCGCAGAGCGCACTGTGATCACGGACAAGCCGGAGAACTACGAGGTGGCGGCCGGCTCGTCGGCGACGTTCCGCTGCAACGCGCACGCGGACGACTCGCTGCCGCTCGAGCTCGTGTGGCTGAGCGGCGGGCAGCCGATCGACCTGGACGCGCAGCCGCGCTTCCGCGTCACCAACGACTACTCGCTGCTCATCTCGGACACCACGGAGCTCGACTCGGGCGAGTACACGTGCATCGCGCGCACGCCCGTCGACGAGGCGCGCGCCCAGGCCACGCTCACGGTGCAAGGTGATAATGCCTAAACAGTGGCCGCCTGTTCGCTTTCGATTTGAAAATGGAACGCGCCCTTCGCTGAACTGCGATGGCCGCCTGTTCGCTTTCGATTTGAAAATGGAACGCGCCCTTCGCTAAACTGCGATGGCCTGTTCGCTTTCGAGTTGAAAATGGAACGCGCCGTTCGCTAAACTGTGATGGCCTGTTCGGTTTCCATTTGAAACTGGAACGCGCCGTTTGCCCTTTTTGATCGCCATCACTAATGTCAAGCCGCACTTATGAATAAGCCCAACTAATAGTTCAAGTAATTTTTTATAAGCTACCACTAGTTCAAGTTATTCCTATCAATATGCCCAACGCCACCTCTTAATTAAGCCACTCTTAACAAAAAGACCAGCGCCACCACTATCGTTCCACCACTCGAGTTGTATTTGTAAATGGAACGCATTGTTTTCTTTTTTTTAATATATGCGTCCAATTAGTAAATGCGGCGGTGTGTCGCACGCTATACTTAATAATGTGTTTGTACTAATTTGAAAATGGAATACCTTTGTGTCTTTATTCTAACGGCGCACGGTAATATAATAATATGGCATTTTATTTGAAAATGGAACTCATCTTTTTTTTAAATTGTTCATATACTACCTCCACGGACGAGGCGGCCCATAGCGCGCGTGTCACGTTGCAGACAAGCCGAACCCGCCGGCGCTGGACGGCATCGAGTGCCACGCGAGGATGGCCGTGCTCCGCTGGCACTCGATGGGCGACAACCGCGCGCCGATACTGCGCTTCTCCATCCAGTACAACACGAGCTTCACGCCGGACTCGTGGGAGGTGTCCACCGACGACGTGCCGTCCATCGACACCTCGTGGGCGGTGGACCTCACGCCGTGGGCCAACTACACGTTCCGCGTGCTCGCCTGGAACAAGATCGGCCCCTCGGCCCCCTCCGCCCACTCGGACGTGTGCACCACGCAGCCCGACGTGCCCCACAAGAACCCCGACAACGTGGAGGGCAAGGGCCGCGACCCCACCAACATGGTCATCTCCTGGACGGTCGGTGCTCGTTGGGATAGCCACTCTCGAAACTCGCTTTTACGGCGACTTTTTAAGAAACCGGCCAATTGCTAGTCGGACACTAAGGGTTCCGTACCATTATCTATGAACACGGCAATAAAATCATGTCTGTTGTATGGGAGGTTCACTTAAATATTTTTTATTCTGTTTTTAGTAAGTTTTGGTATAGCGGCAACAAAGATATATCCTCTGTGAAAATTTTAACCGTCTTACTATTACAGTTCATGATATACAGTCTGGTGACAGACAGACGGCAAAGTCTTAGTAAAAGGGTCCCGTTTTCCCCTTTGGCTCCGGAACCCTAAAAATTAGTGAGACCGCCGCCATATTTCAGTTGCGTGATCTGTTAACTGGGCACGGTAATTAAAGTGCACGACTGAACAATACCGACCATTATACTATTTTTCCGTTTCATATATTCTTTCACAATGTACCCACATGGTAGTTACAAAATCAAAAATGAAAGGGCCGCCCCCCTTTCAGAGCATGCCCCAAATCGAGCACAACGGGCCCGGCTTCTACTACCTGGTGGCGTGGCGGCGCAACATCACCGGCCAGCCGTGGAGCGAGCAGCAGGTCACCGACTGGCAGGACACCGAGCTGGTGGTGCCCAACACGCCCACCTTCCAGCCGTACCGGATCAAGGTGAGCCCGTCACCTCGATGGGGAAGATGTGGGAACGGTCTACCGGTTTTTGTACATCGAAACCATTAGAGTGTAACGCTAGAGATTTACCAGAAAACTAACTAATATATAAACTAAACTGCTTTTAAAATTTATATTTTATTTAGTAAACCACTTTATTGAATTGTTGAATTAATTTAGTTATAATTTGCCTTTAATTTATTGTAATGTTTAGTTTTTTTTTACTCATTGACAAATAAATAATATCAATTTTACAGGTTATCGCCGTGAACTCTAAGGGAACTTCGAACGTTACTCCCATTGAGGTGATCGGCTGGTCCGGGGAGGATACACCACTGCAGGCGCCGACCAACTTCACCCTGGTGCAGGTCACCACCGGCACCACCGCGCTGCTGAGCTGGAACCCGGTCTCGCCCGAGTCGGTGCGCGGCCACTTCAAGGGCTACAAGATACAAACGTGGACGGACGGCGAAGAGGACCGGATCAAAGAGATCCTCGTGAAGGCGGACGCGTCCAGCGCCCTCGTCTCCAAGTTCAGGCCGTTCAAGAAGAACAACGCCAGGATCCTCGTCTACAACGGCCGCTTCAACGGCCCGCCCAGCGAAATACTGAGCTTCCTCACACCCGAGGGCAAACCGGGCACCGTGAAGTCCTTCGAAGCGTACCCGATCGGCTCCTCGGCCATGCTCCTCAAGTGGGACAAGCCGATAGAGGAGAACGGCGTGCTCACCGGCTACAAGATATACTACCAGAAGGTAACCGGCACCGCCCTGGGGCCGCTGCAGGAGAGGAAGAAGGAGATCGACCCGAAGTTCGACCGCGCCAAGCTCGCCGGCCTCGAGCCGAACACCAAGTACCGCATCGAGATCCGCGCGAAGACCAAGGCCGGCGAGGGGGAGAAGTACTACGTGGAGCAGAGCACGAGGGCGATGGCGTATGCGAAGCCGGACGCGCCGCTGTTCGAGGCGAGCCTGGTGCCGGCCAAGGAGGGCGCGGCGCACGTGCTGGTGCGCTGGCTGCCCGCGCCGGACGGCCACCCGGGCACGCACTTCGTGGCCTGGTACCGGCTCAAGGGCCACCCCGACTGGCAGCGCACCAACGAGGTGACGGAGGACGACTACGTCATCCTCACGGGCCTCGAGCCCGGACAGGTCTACGAGCTCAAGGTGACCGCGCACGACGGCGACTACTTCAGCACCAGCGAGATCAGCGAGGTGGACACCACCATCGGTGAGCGATGGATCTAAACCTTGCAGTGTTGATATCGTCCGCATGCCGCGCTATTGGCTCTATATTAATTTCTTTTTGTAACTTTCTTTTGAAATGTATAATAAAATGTGTATAATATTATTCTCATCGTTTTTAAAAATAAATTGTTGTCCAAAACGTTTTCATACATAGTGAAAAGAAGAGAAAAAAAATTATGAAACATCACACATTTAACACACACACTCGTGTGTGTACGTATACGGCAAACCAACCGCTATCAGCTTAATGCTGCAGTCGATACGAAAAGATCTTTATCCATTTGTGAACTCTAGTATATAAAACAGTGCGTCACTGAGTCACCACTGTTAAAAACTGTGACGGCGAAGTCTGTCCGTACGTAGCGATACGTCGAGTGTAGCGTAAGAGCTGTTCCGCTCCGCAGACGGGCCGATGATAATGCGCGACGACAAGATGGCGACCGCCGGCTGGTTCATCGGCGTGATGCTCGCGCTGGCCTTCCTGCTGCTCGTGCTGGTGCTGGTGTGCGTGGTGCGGCGCAACCGCGGCGGAAAGTATGACGTGCACGACCGCGAGCTGGCGCACGGCCGCCGCGACTACCCCGACGCCGGCTTCCACGAGTACACGCACCCGTACGTACTCCACCCCCACTACCCACTACCCACTACCCACTACCCACTACCCACGCCCTCCCCTCCGAGGCGGCAAGCGAGCTGACGGTTCACCTAGTGATAATTGCCGCCCGCGGACATGGACGTTGGACACGCACCCATAACCCGCCTCCTCCCTACTCACCCACGCCCCCCACCCTCCTATCCGAAATGCCAAGTGAGCTGGCGGTTCACCTAATGTTAGGAGATAACCGCCACCCATGGATATAGTACATGCATGCCACGTACCCACGTGTGGTTGGGCATACAAGATATAAACCTAACAAGAATTCCCATTATATCCCTTTGTACAGAGTAGGCCTTTGCCCGGCAGTGGGATATGTTTAAGCTGTTATTTTACTTTACTAATAAGGATTCCGATGACTAAAAAATTTCAAAACATAGTTTCACTAATCGATTAATCAGACCATTATAAAATTCTCATATATTATTTTCCAAAGTTAAATGAGCAATTCCTGGTATATATATAAATTTCGTGTATCCCGGAAATGGCAACATTCAGTCGCTGTTTCTAAATATATCACACAATATGATTACAGGCTCGACAACAAATCCAGGCATTCGATGAGCAGCGGCACCAAACCGGGCCCCGAAAGCGACACCGACTCCATGGCAGAGTACGGCGAGGGAGAGACAGGTATGTGTATGACAAATCCGAATACAGCCAAATCACAGAACCGTCTTGAACTAAATCATGTTACCATAGATGTGTGAAGCATGACTTAACAGCGAAACGTTTTAATTTTTTTTTTCATGATACATTATTATTCGTAGTTTGAATTTTTCGCTTGCTTGTCTGTCGACGCATGTTTACCTTCGCCCCCCTCAACCGCGCCGTGTCCGCGCGGTCGTTTGCAGCCGGCATGAACGAGGACGGCTCCTTCATCGGCCAGTACGGGCGCAAGCGGCGGCCGCCCGCCTCCGGCCAGCCGGACTCCGCATCGCAGGCCTTCGCCACGCTCGTTTAAATAAACACTTATCCCTTCCCTTTAACTCCTTTGCCCCTCGCTTAGGCCGCACGCCCCCGATACCTTTGCCTCCCGAATAACTTCCATACAGGTCTATCCGTGTCTATGATACTGATATGTTCGAAAGTGAAGAAATATATCGATATATCAATGTATCCATCGATATACGGATATTTTTTCGACATCCCTATGTTTTATCCGTAGTGCCATTGCATATTTTTGCATTGACATAAAATATCCTTTTTTTTTTATTTTGTCCCATGGCAACTATTTTGATGCGATAATTCTCGATGTTGCCATGTTTGATGTATCCAAGTTGGCGCCTGTTTTAAATTTTGAATCGGTTGTTAAAATTTTCTAAAGGAAATTATCCTATAATATACAATAATGTAATACCGGGCGTTCAGGGTCTTTATTGTACTATTTCAGAAATAGTTCTCTATAAAGACTTGTCCACAAGACATGATGCAAGGCAAACTATTGCACGAATCTCTTCTTTTAGGTTAAGAAATAAGTACACAATAAGTTAAGCCTCTATTAGGTTGTAAAAAAAGATATGATATTAACAGAGTGAATTGCAGTGACCGTGTTTTTTTTTTCTCTACTTATAGATTTTATACGCACGAGCTTTGTAACGTTATTGGTTTGCATTTAGTTACGTTTAGAATAGATTAGACGTATCCTTGTTTCCGTCCTTGTCTATTCCTCCCTTAAGTTTTGTCTATGCACGAGCAGCCAGTTTCTTTTGTTTTCAACGAGGTATGTGCTTATTTTTTTTTTGTTTTTATTTCTTATTCCTTGCTTTTGTGATGTTACGCCTGAAGTGTTCGCAAATAATATTTAGAAGTCTGTTTTATACATCACAATTCCAGTCATTTCTAATCTTCATATTCGCTATCATTGATATATTTCCTGTTTTGGATTTTAGAATGGAAAATGTTATAAAATTAAAACCGTAATATTTTAGATAGTTATAAAAAGAAGGTGAATTATTATTTAAAAAGATAATGATTTTCTTTGTAATTAAAATTATCAAATATGCACCTGCAACTAATAGAATGGTAGGTCCAAATTGAAATTCGAAACGAAGTGCTTGGCATTCAAGCATTTGATTTGAGCTTGTTAGTGACACGCTTAATGATAAATAGCAGTAATTAAAAATATTTATCCAGTTACAAGTTAAAGACCATACATAACATATTTGATATGTAGACCACGACCAGGAAAATAAAAATAGAATATCTCGCCATTTTACATTACGGAAAAGCAGAGGATATTATTACTTGTACAAATCATTTATTAGTAAAAGCGATGTAAAGGGGAAGAAACGTTTTGTGGCTCAGTTCACAATTTGTTCGGCTATTGTTAGTTTTGTGTATCCTTTCATTTCTGGTGGACAATAAGGTATTAATTTATTTTTTAATCGTCCTCTGTATAAGGCACTAAAATTATAATGAAAAAAAAAAAAAAAAAAAAAAACAGGCGCAGTTTCTAGTTTCTTTCGAATCCGTAGTGCGCGTTTTGTCTTAAAATTTGCGCTGTCTCTGCTTAGTGTTCCAGAATAATAATCATTAAAAAAAAAAAAAAAAACAAACGAGCGCCGTTTCGAATTTGGAACGGCCGTTCGGAACCCGTGACGCGCTTTCTGACTTTCGTTCTCTGCACAGGCCGGTTCACGGAGGACGGCTCGTTCATCGGGCAGTACGTGCCGGGCGCGCGGGTGCTGCCCCCGCCGCCCGCGCCCCCCGCCCCCGCTCAGCCCGTGGCCGCGCCCGCGCCCGGCCCCCAGCCGCCCACCTACGTCTAGGCGGGTGACGTCACGCGATGACGTCACGGCGCGCGGCTCGGAGGCGTCCGTGCCAGCGTCCCGTGTTCGACGTCTTCTTCGCTTCTACCACTGCAGTGTTAACGATACAATCTACGCATACCGACTTTTTAATGCCTTGAAACGATCCTTAAAAGGTCATACATATTTTAAAAAAAAATTTCAGACTAAAATTTGCAATCGATGTCACGCACACAGCGTGGTATGAGTAGATTGTATCGGTCCCTACGCCATCTGTGTTTGTCATTACCGGCGTTTTATTAATTTGTAACGATAATCTGTTGACTGTAAACCATGCTGTTCAGCTGTGAAACTACTGTGTGTCGCGTGGAGACGTTTCCATAGGCCAGAGCCGTGGTGTCGGTAGTGAACGCTACCAATTTTAGGCAACATTAGGCGCTTGGTGGTTCATGCAAACGCCTTTACTGTCAGCCTATAATCATGTTTGTTTGTTTATGAGACTGATTTTAAGTAATGATGTGAAAACAGTCCGCCGACTGACGCACGAATGGTCGAAATTATAGTTTTAGCGTAGCTCTCTCTGCCCTTATACATTATTCGCGTATTTGTCTAATTGATCTAATAATAACACGTGAAATCTACGAATGGTCTGGATATCAATTATATTGTTAGGATTACGGTAGCCGGTGGTGATGAGAAATTACAAAGATGCTATTTTTGTCACGGTAATTTTTGGATTAAACTGAAACTTTAGCTCTGAGCGCCGGTGGTCATAGCCCCCTCGCGTTTACGTCGATTACAACAGAAATATATTGCAACAAATTAAATAATATTTCTATCCGTTGACCGAGTAGCGGTAGCGCTCTTCGTAACGGGATATTTTGATATCGAAAATATTTCTCTATCTATTAATAAATCATTTGAGCTTTATGCCAATGCATATGATATTGTGTACTATTTTCTTAACAACGAATGCATATCTTACACGTTACTAAATCACGCTATGGACCACTTATAAAGTTTATTTTCAACAGATCAGAATACAAGGTATCAAATTATTCATTTAAAGATTCGAAAACGTTAAAGTTGTATTGTAACCTTCATGTCATATTCATTGCCGCGCAATGTCAATGACCGTAGCCGTATTTTTTTTAATAACAAAACGGCCAAGGCAATGATAAATATCGAATCTATTTTGATGGATGCAGAGCTCTGAGTATTTTTTATATCGCGGGTCGGTTTGACCACCGGACGATGTTGGTGCTTTGCGATGGAAGTGAGGGGGGGGGGGGGGTCGTGATTGTGAGGATTCGGTTTTCGGTGTTGTGATCGTGAGGGTAGCTTAAGCCCGGCTTGTTGTTCCCACCCGCTGTCGTAAGTGGCATCGATTTAAATTTATAATCTAATAAGATTAGATCTAATAAGATCTGCAAGAAAGATGGTAACAAAACTACACCTGCTTTTTGGCATCTTACAGGCTTCTCTAGTTAAATTTAATCGATCGATCTGCGTTCAAACTTATCTTAGTATTATTTGTCTTAGATATATCTGTTGTTATAGACTACTTTAATTTTATTATCGACTTGCATAGAACACGACTTAGAAGAAAATAAAATTGACATCGCAAACATGACGTAACCCCGCGACTATATCATATTTCATCATAAAAATGATACATTCTGTGTCTTATACTTAATATTTATTTTGACATTAACCTTACGACGATATTATACTGAATCTCTGAATCTCATTTTTTTTTAAATCCACGTCACAGATTGGCTTTAAGTGTTGCACCTTATTCCAATGGTGTCGAGTTTTTTTTTTAAATAGCGACAAACGTCACTAAATTAGTGTTTTGTATTTATAATATTTGTAGCTATTAAAATATTGCAACTTTTCGTATCTAATAATTGTATCTTACATACTGCACATTGAATCTATATTTGTATTATTGAAAATCCACTATCAGGTATTTCTTCACCTATGTAAATCAAGCTGCTTTATTTGACGCAATATTTATGCAAAGACGAATATATTTTCAATGTCACTTAGAAGTAATAGTAAACATTGGCTGGGAAATATTGCTTGGACAAGCCATTAGCGCCTTTCTCGTACCCACAATTATTGTTGAACGCGCGCGGATATATCCTCTATTTGTATAGCATTAAGGCTGTCAATTGCTTGCCGCGCGACGAGTCGAGTTCCCTATTGTAATCACGTGTTAGTGTTAAGCCTAGATTCTCGTGTTAACTAATCTTAGACGGCCGGTGCGTCCGCTCTAGTATTTATTTTAGCTGCGTATTTCTTTTGCCTTTTGCGTCACACTTTTAAAGTATATTTTGGCATTTCGTTCGCCACTCGCCTGAAAGGTGTCGGGTATTAAGTGAAAAATACATTCCACGCGGTATAACCCATGTTGATTTTGTTCTGAGATTTCGAGTCGGCCAGATCTAATCTGCTCTGTGGGCGGCGCGTTGAAAACTTCTCGGCTGCCGTGTTATATTATTAATGCCGACGTATGTTATTTTATTTACGCGATGTCTACACGTTGTATATATAGATGCTATATATACCTATATATATATATATATTTATATTTATTGCCCCCACCTAACGCCAGAGTTCGTTTCGTTTCAGAGCTTAATATGTGGCTAGCATTGCGTTATATTCACATACGGCACTGTTATCTTAGCCCCCTTTAAGTTATTTGTTAAGGAGTCTTTATAATGTGTAATGTGTAGTAAGAATTATTGATACTATAATTAATATGTACGTTAACACTAATCGATACGGTACGACGAGCCGAGTTCCCCGCTTCTTACGCCGGCCGATTGAGAGGTTCTATGATCGCCTTGTCGTATTTCTTGTTGGCCTCCGCGTCGATGTTTCAAACGGTTGTTGTGATTGTTGATAATGTTGGTAACACTGCCCTAGCATTGGGAACATACGTGTACTTACGGCCCGTTCCAATATTCAATCTACTATATGTAGATTTGGTAACTGGAGTTAGAATTTTGGCGTAAGTGATTATTGAGCTAACGTCCTAAACAACCTATCTCCAGTAACAAAATCTATCTGTAGATATTGAATATTGAAACCGGCCGTTAATCGTGTGTCCGTTGAACTATCACTATCAGATACATTTACACATAACTCGCCGTGTCACATTGTCGTGTCGTGTGATGACGTGGATACGTGTCCATGCGTCTCAATTCGCCATTCGTAACATGCAACTCTCAACTGCCGTTTCTTATTGTAATTACGGAATGTATTTTCTCTCATAGCTAAATATTGTTGTAAAGCTAATTCGTGTCTATCTTAATACACATAAAAGCCGATCGTGGCCGGTTGAAATTGTTTGTTGTGTTGTTTTATACGTGCAGTGTTACTCGGGGACGGCCACGGAGCGGACGTGTCTCTGTTGTCCGACGAGTGGGGTCGGATCCTCTCGATTGATTGTTTATAAAGTGTTGATTGTCTGTAAATGTAACAGAGGCCACGTTGAAATATTCACAAAGGCCAAATAACACTTGCGTCGCTAAGGGAGGCGTCCGCACCGTGAACGTCCAGCAGTGACAGGGCCGGATTTAGAGATCTGGAGGCCTCGGGGCAAAAAAGCAGTGGAGGCCCCTTGACCCAAAATTATTTTCCAAATAAAATTAACAATTTTTTTCAGTCGAATTTTCCAATAAATAATTTATTGTGAAACCAAGTACAGATTGTTTTATTATTTAACGAACATTCTCTATTGTGTCTATTGTGGGGGCCCGGGGATGTAGCCCCCGGTTGCCCTCCCCTAAATCCGGCCCTGGCCAGTGTACTTCTCGATAACCGTGGTGTTATGTTGAATTAGACGATAGTTTGCATTTAATCGAGTTGATGACATGACAAATTGTAACTACTCCCCTCGGAGGTGTTCACGAATTAATGGTTTACATTTTTAGTTCTTTTTCTCTCGGATTAAGTGACGGTAATTTATTGTGTAACTACTACGATGGATATTTTTTTATGTTGCATAGAAAATTAAAAATTTTAAGAAATTTTTCCGTGCGTTTCCTTTGAGCTCAAGCTTATTCCCTTGGTGTTGTTGGGATAGATAATTAAAATATAATAATATGGTTTTAAAAAGATTTCAATGTATAATTTATTTTCTCAATATCCCGTTATTAACCTTTTAAAAAAGAGCAACTGTTGAGTTCCTTGCCGGTTTCTTCTTAACAGAAACTGCTTTCCGAACTGGTGGTAACTTACGAACGTGTTAATTTCTTTGTAAAATTTTGACGTTTCATTAGAACACACAAGCGACTATGTGAATAAAGGTATTTTATTACTATTATTATAACATAAATAGTGATAGGTACTATTAAAAAAAAGTATACTCCGTGGCACAGTTGCCAAGGCATCAGTGCCGGAGATCGTGGGTTCGATTCCCACACGCAAATACTGTTTGTGTGGCCCATACTTTGATAGTCTATGGTCAGATAGATAGTCTAATGTCTCTAAACGATTTTAATTGAACATTTATGATGTAGGAATAGCTGTAACTACCCCCAGGGGCTACCTGAGTAATTTTACTAACAGGAGACCAGCATGAAACTATTATTATACTTTTGCGTTTCGTGAGGTAACCGGAGCCAAATGTTGAGAATGTATCTGTAACCCCCTCAGGTGATGTTCATGGAAGGACTGGACTATGAAACTGAGCCTACCGCCTGCTAATCTGGTGTTAAAAAAGACCCGCTGTTAAACGGCTCTTATTATTAGGAACCGGTAGTTCTGTTGCCTCTGTTACAAAGAATACTAAAAAACGGAATAAAATATTTAAGTGGGGCTCCCATACAACAGAGCCCTTCGTGGGCGAGTTCGACTCGCACTTGGTCCAGTTTTCCAACAAGCCTCCAAAGCATGCTGTGGACTCTACTAGGAGCGGTTTCCGCAGGATGCTTTGAGTTAGGCTCCAAGCCCAGGAGTCAGCGGATACCCGTCCAGCTGCTTTGGATAATGAATGCGCTCGGTATGTATATTGCGTGAAATGACACCAGCTATTTGTCTTTTGCTGTTTTCGTATCTATTCGTCCATCAGCCATTTTGTACACTTCTATTGAGGTCAGGATACAGGACCATTTTTCTTGAGATGTTCGTTTGTATTGATGGGCCTTAATTTTATCGCGGCACGGTGTATAAGTGGCAAGCCTCTGACTCTTGCGTTGCCATGACACAACAGTAAACAGTAAACATGACAAAACAGGTAAAGAGAAATCTTTACCTGTTTCACCAGTAGACAGGATCATTATTGTGTTATTATATCACACTGCTGATGAATCCTGAGCCTGCGATGCCGTCGTGATGACATCACTCAAGAAGACATCTTGTCTGGGGTCTGCCGCGACGCCTCGGACTCAGTATGACGGAATCCAATTCTTGTGACATGACAAGTAAATGCCGTTTTTCGGCAAGTAAAGATGACCATTCATCACTTCCATTTGGTGTCTGGAGCAGACCTGTGTGGCCTCAGTCGCGCCAGCCCATCTATCAATAAAATGTTCGATTTTTATCTTCACTAGCATAACACTAAAGTAGTTAAAAATGTGAAGGATTTTTATGCGAGAAGGTGGCAAACAAGCAGGCCTGATGTTAAGTAATAACAGCCGCCCATGGACATTTGCAACTTCCTAAGTGTTGCAGATTTCCTCCTCTGCTACCTCACTCACCAGACGAAACACAGAAATGACACTTCACCTAGGTCTTCTGTGAGGACGTAGGACGGGGGAATCCCCGAACGGACCCGCCCATTCGTGCACAATGTTATTAAATGTCTGTCACACACCGTCGAATAAAATCTTTGCAGCACGACAGTTGATCTCGTTAGCTTTTACTAGTTTTCTTTATCCTTTGTCCCATATAATATTTTCTTTTATTCGTTGGGCATGCATAAATTTTTGTTCGTTTATCTTATGTGACGCAGAAACTCTATCCAGTGGAACTGCCTCAATACCACCGATGATTTTGGGTACAGTATCGTGTTAGTTTATCATGCAGATATTCATAGTTTAGGAGTTCCATACTCTTTTTACAAGGATCACGTTTTTTTTTTATGCGAAAAGTTGCCAAACAAGCAGACGGGTCACCTGATGCTTAGTGAATACCGCCGCCCATGGACATCTGCTACACCCGAGGGTTACAGACGCGTTGACAACCTTTTGAAAATTGGGCTCCGGCTACCTCACTCACCGGACGAAACGCGAAAGTTTGTCATACTTCCACTTTACCCAGGTCTTCTGTGAAGTCGTGGTACTTACCCGGGCGGGCCTGCCCATTCGTGCAACAGCCGAGACTGCTGCGTGGTCCTACCACCGTAAATCCGAAATTTCACGAATTTTCCCTACCCTATCTTTTCTTCCCCTTCTATATTATAATGCCTTTTTTGTTAATCAGAAAAGCTTCCAAATCCGAGCAGAATTATTTCCGACTAAAATACATTTTATAATTTTTACTGTTAAATTGGTGGCGATTAATTATAATTTGTACCTATTTCGAATTTACTAAAAAAGCTCGACACGCGCGTTTTCAGCTTATCCTTTTTAAGACGTCGTCATAACATTCCGAGTACGATTTCGATTCTTACGTTGCTTTACATAAGACTCGAATCCAACGTACCGAGCCCAAGATAAGGCGCACAAGTTGTCCCATTCGGTGAAGTCACAAAATATTGGCAGTCAGTCCACATTTAAACGCGCCGCGTGATGCAAGTGCCGTAGTCAGTGATCGATTTCGTTAAAATTCAATTTTCGATCGTGCACAGCGTACGATGAGTTTTTAAAATTATGTTACAGTGAACCGTTAATTTATAACCAAACTCTTGTGAAGGACATATTGCAGGTACCGATGCCCTCCTGTTTTTGCGTTACGAATTTGGCTTCGCGAAATTTGATCGGGATAACGAGAGATCATTGATCCCACTTATGTTTAATTGTTTAACGATACCGATCGACGAGTGCACACATTCTGGACAGTTCTTTGCTTTTAGTACTGCGCGCTTTTCCTTGTTTAACAATCGAGTTAGACTTCTAGTCTCGAGCGAAAATGATACCTAGTTCAAATTTTTATTTCCGTGATTTTAAACTTCTGTAGTTTTGTTGTGAAATAATATTTACTTAATGACTGTTAAATAATTATTGTACTTAATATAAAAAATGTACTTATGCATGTAGTCAGAGTCGGAAAAATTCATTCAAACTGCGTAGCAGACAAGTAAAAAAAAAAACGTAAACAGTTTTATGCAGCAGATGTAAACATGGCGTTATTAATAGTGTCCCAGGACATCACTTGTTGGGCGCAGCAGTCGACGTGCGGCGGAACTCGCCTAAAGCTCCTGTTAATTGATTATCTTTTTTTTTCCATTATTTTCATCGCTAACCGGTTTATAACCGCATCGCTGTGTGCACCAAAAAAAGTTTGAATTAACAAACCTTTAATAAAAATTCAATCCGATATTGACTTGACATTACATTTTTTTTAGATTAAGATCGAGTGGAAAAATTTAAATTTTTTGTCAGTGTGATTAAGTTGGATTTATTTGTAATAACCTATATATTTATACTTTAATTTCTTTCGTAGTGGTGTCAATTATCGTAATTTCGTACTTTAAATGTAAAACTGCTTCCCGAACGATCAAAACTTCTTTTTTATCAAAAACAATTATTTTACTCAAAGTGCGGCGGCATAGCATAATATAACACTATTATTGTATGTAGTTTTATTTTCATGAATAAACCTTGATTGTAAAATATATCATACATCATTTAAAAAACGAAGTCGATCAAAAATCATAAAAAATCTATTCGAACCAAACCAGCAAAGTTAATTGGGATTCCTCGTTTTATATCTTATAAAATCAAATCGGACACTTCATTATCGTCGCGTATTATTCGGATAAAATGTCGAGTGTCCGATTGAGCTACGATTACTTTTTTCAGTTCGTTGTTTTGTCAACTTGACACAATTTATGGTCGTCCCCATTCTTGTGGCGTCGCGCAGGGCCGGCGAGTCTTAATAGAAAAGTTCAAATGACAGAGAAAAAAAAGAGGAGCGGGTGCTATCGCCAGTGGTCGCCGCCGGACGGTGGCTTTTTTTTCTCTTTGCCCTGTTACCTGTTCCCGGACGGGCACCGGCCGCTCGCTGGTTAGCCTAACAAGTGCGCAGGGGTGCTGCACCTTTGCCGCCTTTTGTCACGCGTCTCGTATCCTATACGGTTCATTGTGGATTTAGATATTCGCAAGGTTTTGATCTGGTTTGATCTATAATTATCTGCTTTTCGACATGCCAACTGATTCATTTAATATTAAAATTAGAGTGTTCAATTATTAAAATTAGTGTGAAGTGAATAAATAATAAAATCAGAGATTTTAGCTAAAGATCTTAGAAGAATACGTGTTCAATCATAAACGTCACAAGTGCTAAATCGGCTGTCACGAATATTAAACGACTCCGAACAGACTAACTTTCGCCGCGACTTGGAGTTATGTGTTTTTGCACATTTCGCACCACGGTCGCAATGTCGCCGGGTCATTCCCGTTTCGCGGGCGAACTTATCACAGGATGCCCCTCGCTGCCGATGAAAGACACGTTTCGAACACAATAAAATTATTACATGCCTAACTATTCCGGATTTAAAATGGCATTGTCTGTCAAGAGATAACTATAGCTTTGCCGGGAAGTTATATTTTGTTGATGTTAATTCTTTGTGTATGCACAGTTCTATACTTTTATTATAAGGACTACTTTACAGTACGATATAGATTTTTCATACTACAAGTGACCTCCGTCAATATAGAAATAAAAAGTGACCAGTAAGGATAAATAGTTTGGTGCTAATAACACTTCTCTGTATCTTGCATTTAATTATGAGGAAAATTTACGCAATTTCGTCAAGGTCTCGATGGCAAGAAGAACATATATGTTGACATTTTAAATTTCTACAATAGTCCGTCCGAGCAGTGTTCGTTGTACATCAATTACGTTGTCAGCAATAAAACTATTGGAGACATAATGTTCATATTTCGTGAAACAATAAGTCTTTAAAGGGTACACATCCCATTCTGAGTACTGCTGTTCTTATATACTGTAGCAGTATAAGACAGACAAATGCGGGAAATTGATTCAAGTAACCGTGGATTTAAACCAGAGACATCACACCGCGTGTCGATGTCTTGCCGGACGTCGACTGCTATACATGTTACAAAAGAATCTACAGTTTTAAATACATGTATTTAAATTAACACTGGTTTTACTAGAGACACGTAACTGCGTTCTCTATGTAGATGTGTGATGAACAAACACCGCGAGTGTTCTTGAGCTCTGACAACTAAAATATTGGTACTTCCATTGTTACTTTTCAAGATTCCACTTCTACGAGGTTTTTTTGTAGCCGGCCTTATCTACCAACTTCTTCAAATTTGGTACAAATTAGTGACTATAAAAAGTTTAATGGAGTTAAATCAAACTAAATGGCGTAGAAAAAAAAAAAACAATTTACGAATAATAACACATTTTAATACGACTATAAGTCGTACCATAATTACATAAAGATGATCACAGTTTGGTTCTAATTTATTAAAACTAAATACAATTATTATTTGTATGGTATAAATACAAATAATATTTTTATCGTATGATGATGAGCTCTTTTTACGAATGCTAGTAATGAAAAATTTAAGACAACCCTATAACCAGTAACACATTTTTATTGAACATACTAAGAAATACGAACAATGTACATCAGGAACTTTGCCTACGTTAAATTACTTGTTTTTTTTTTACTTTACTTACTTTGGCCTAATGAACAAAGCCCAACGAAATGATTCATTTATGTTTTCTATATAAAAAAAATGTAGATGTGGTAACAATATCTGTCTCTCTACCTCATCGAAGACTAGAGGCGTGACAGATTATAATTTGACTTTAATAAACATAAAAAAATAATACGCTGAACCATGATGTCACAACGGAAATAAAATTAACTAAAGCGTGTTAATAAAATAAAAATAATCACAACAAGAATTTTAATGTGATAATAAATAGCTATCACGTATAATAACATGGTGTCGCTAATTGTGGGTTATCGTACAGTGACACGAGATATTACTATTAGTGACAAACTTAGTCCTTTTGTTGTTATGTTTAAGTGAGCGGGGAATGTGATATTTTCAAAATCTTTTTATAGACAAAATCAATGATATTATGTACAAATACGAAGTAGATATGACACTACCGTACCAAAAATGAGGCACTATGAGGCACACAAAATTAAAATAAATAACTAAAGTGTGATAGATAATGTAACGTGACAATAATTTTAAAATAATGTAAAGTGACCATGGGCATAGATAAAACTGTTGCGTACCCCGCATCATAGATAAATTTGTCCTTTTTTTGTTTACACCTTTTGTTAGTATAATTCGACATCGGGAGCGTGAAAAAAAAAGCTGTACACAATACTTTTTGACAGGGGATATTTAATGAAGTTGTCTGAGTTTTTACGTGAGCGGCGTTTCTCACGATAATACCATTGCAGGAGCACGTCCGAACGGCCCAATCAATTAAGTTAATGTGATGATTCTAAACTTTTGTTTATTTTTTTTAATATTGTTACGAAGACCCAAAACGATTGCGCATGGTCAACAAGCGTGTTATGAGGCACTGACACGGTTATTATTGCCGCATTTTTAAATCGGTAAAAAGTGTTTTGTGAACAAAATGTTTATATGAGACTAACATTATTTACTTTTGATATCTAATACTAATTAAAACATACAACTGCCTGCCTCGATTAACAATATATTCAATCTACTTCATTAGGATTGCGTCATGAAAAATATTCATGTTGATTATTAACAACTTTATTATATTTGTTGTTGTTAACAACATGGCAAGGCATGAATATACTAATAAAACTATACATTAATAAATAAATTGATAATTTTATGTTATTTAATTTTAAAAGTGCAGCCACTTAAACTTAGGTAAACTTAATGTCAAATTTATGCGACACACCGCCCGCTGTCCAATTCCACTACTGAGTGAACAAACAAAATCGAAAATTCGTATGGCCATGTAACGTGTTCCTTACAAATACTCTAGTTATAAATTATTCTCTAGTTTTCAAAGATAAACGTTTTATAAAGCACATATTTTACTATTAGATTACTCAGGATACAACAAAGTATAGGTGAACTATGATAACAGAGGTTACGGTTTTAAGCAATATTTATTAGTTTATCAGTAAGCGATCATCGAATCGAAGCTTATTGCTTGTTTAAAAACGTTTTTGTGTTAACGTTTATTTCACTAAGAATAGACTAATAGTAACGTTACCAAACCCTTAACTTGTATAGAATCGACAAGCATTTAACTCATGAAAAAATGAACTTGACACAACAAGCATCGGGTTGTGCAACGAGTTTAAACTTTTTTTTAAAAACAAATGTTATCTAAAAGCAACCAAAGATTGTCGTCAGTTTCTGTAAATATGAATAATCATTTCACGTGCTACAGACATTGCTTGATATACGCATTATTTATGTATACCGAGCCGTGATAGCTTAGTGTCCGGGTGCTCGCCTTAAATTCAATTTACTCGAGCAACTTCAATTCGATCCCCGGTGCCAGCACCAAGGAAATTATTGATTAAGTGCTGACTTATCACGTGCTCGGCGGTGAAGGAAAATATCGTGAGGAAACCAGCACATTTTCGAAATAATAACAAAAAAGAAATTACGAAAATATGTGAAGTCCGCCAAACCTCTGTACAGAGGAGGCCTTTGGCCAGCTGCAGAAAATTTATAAGCTATTACTTTACTTTTTCACTTTTATCAAGAACGTTCATTCTATATATATTTCAACACATTAGAAATGTGTCATTAATAAAATTAATTTATATAATATTACCATTATAAATGTTTAGAATGCTTAGAAAACAATGTGGAGTGAAGTTTTTAGGGATTTATCGCGTCTTTTCTAAACATAAATTCCCGACGTTTTCATTGCTTTGCAGATTTCTTGGTCACCGGAGTCAGACGCCATAATATCATTGTTAGCCCGGGCTACCGACAGTTTTTGAAGTTATTAATTTTGTCTCTGATCTGCGCAGAAAGTGTTGACTAGGTCTTGGCTTGCAGTGATGTGTTTGAACACTTCAGACCTATTCGGTCTTTCATGTTTTGTGTCAGGTAAATGTTGTTTCACGCGGGATATTTTGCTTTTGTTTGTCCTATATAAAATTCTAAAGGATGGTGATGATGTTAGTATACTCATCTGTAGCGCGGACGTTAATATGAGTTTTGGGTTTCATTTTCAAAAGATATGTGATAGATGTAAGCGTATCAACTTGCTTTATAATTGTTTTGAAGTTGACCGTCAAAAACCTATTTCGTAGATCTGCATATGATTCCTCGTTGGTGATTTTATGTAAACCAATAATTTATTTAAGGACGATAAATGCTAGGAAGACAGTTTGCGAACACAAAATTGTGAGTGCTCGAATCCCAGTGACGTCATGCAAAGATTAATTAATTAACTAAATTATCCTCCATGGTTTCGTTTTAATGAATCCCAATTAAGAACACAATAAGATTTTATTTAATTAAATACAAAGATAACCTCCGTATAAAGAAAAGACGATTTTTAACAACGTACCATCTACTCGTGAAAATTATCGCATCTCAGATTAATTTATTGCAATACTCCAATAAAACACATTGTATAAATTTGCTAGAATGCCGGTTTTCCGTTACATACCACGTATTAACGGCAAACCGCATCTTGCGCATATTACGATACGTAGGTATCTATTACACCTACGTTAGCCAGCCTTTATAGTCAACGTTCACATGCATTCAAATCTGGGTAAGACATGCTCTTACTGGATAATTGCGGGTAAATTAAATCGTTCTTTTATTAGCGAATTCTTAAGCTTACGTACATATTTAAGATTTTAGCATAAACATTTTTTTGTTGTGTGTTTATAAACAACTTTTCGTAAATATACGTTTTGACAACCCAGTTGGCGTAGTGGATGGTGATACTGTCTCTTGTGCCAGAGGGTGTGCGTTCGATGCCCAAAACTAGAAATTTATTGTGTGATGAACATAGAGTTTTTATATTGTCTGGGTGTTTATATATCTACAATATGTACTTATTTACAAAAGAAAAGGACCTTTAAGGATGTTTATCAGTTACCTAGTACCTAGTACCGAGATGGACACGACCAGAAATAATTACTATGATTTGTAATTATTTCTGGTCGTGTCCATCGCGGTCCTCACCACATCGCTAATATTCCGAGACGGTTCTGTGTCTTCGAGCATGTCAGTCCATCGTGATGGAGATCGGTCACGCGATATTTTGCCTTCAGTGTTTCCAACAACGATCGACCTTTCCAAGCCTTCGTCTCCTTTTCTCATTATGTGGCCAAAGTAACTTTGGAAACGTTGCTCGCAGATATGTGTACATTCACGTTTTGATATTGAGTTCCGATAGTATGGACTGATTTGTGCGTCTAGTTGTCCATAGTATTCGCAGCATACGTATCAGTAGTTATATCGAATCATAGTCCAAGCTTTGCTTATTTAGGGACTATGATAATGTTGTGAAAAAGAAAGGTGGTGGGGCCACGCGGCAGCATCTGCTGTTGCATGCAATGACAACGGATTCGTCCCGAAAAGTACCAACGCCTTGCCAACCCAATTTAAAGTAACGAGGTCCTATTTATGTACAAGTTGATTTGGAGGTTGGCAAGACATCTGTAACCCATTTGGTGTCTAGGGGCGGTGATCATCACGTAATACGAACCACCTGCTCGCTTGCCAACTTTTCACATAAAAAAGAGCAATTTAATCAAAAAAGGTGAATTCACCCGATGTTAAGTGATAACCGCCGCCGAGGGACATTTGCAACACCCGCAAGGTTGCAGATGCCGCCCTGTAATAAAGTGGGCCCCGGCTACCTCACTCACCAGACGAAAGGCAGGAGTGTAACACAACCGCTTCACGCCGATCTTCCGTGAGGTCGGTATTCCGCGGACGGACCTGCCCATTCGTGCAACGCGACTACTGCGAGGCCCTACCGCAGTCTGCCACAGCGACCGTTGCACCCGCAGGATGAGGTGGCCCTGGGCGTGGACGGGCGCGCGGCTGTGCGCCGGCGTGGCGCTCACCATGTCGCTCAGCATCACCGCCGGCCGCCGCGACTACAAGGACCTGGACGCCAAGCAGGCCTCCGACATCTCGCTGTGGATCGACGAGCGGCAGGTCCGCATGTTCAGCGGTGAGTCCGGGAAGATCGGAAACAATTTACTAGCCGCCGCCCGCGACTACGTATGCGTAGAATAGGCTGAAGGCGTAACGTTCAGACAGAAAGACAAATATACATAAATGTATGAGTATATTAATTACAGCCTATGTGTTATTCTGATGTATAAGTTATGTTATTGTAAAGTTTCATTAAAATCCATTCTGTAGTATTTGCGTGAAAGAGTAACAAACATCCATCCATACATACAAACTTTCGCGTTTATAATATTAGTAAGGATTAGTAAGGAAGTAAGGACTTATAGGCTAATTCTTTAGGAATCCTTTGTATCAGCTTCTTTTATAAGGGATTGGCGATCGATTGTAAAGCGCTGATGCGCTCGTATCTAATTAAAATGTTATTGACTCTTTTCTTATTAAATTCAACTATCTTTACACATAAAAATTTTAATTTGAATAATAATTTCATTTTAATAATGCGTAGTTCTCATATGAATATACGAGATACGTCTTGAGCTTTTAGTGAGCTTTACATGCAAATTTTGACACTTCTCGACTCTTTAGGGGCTACTATAAAAATAATAGTCCTTAGCTGGATTCGATACCACAACCCACGTAGCGGCAAAACCTTAATTTTTATATGCCACAATTATATTGTAATAATCAGTTATATTTTAGTGAAGAAGCAAATTTTATTCTTAATTTAACCAAGTTTTCAAAAAGAAATACGAGATGTACGGTTAGACCCCCTCGTAACACCGCATGTAATTAATGGATGTTACCTAAAAAGTCACTTTACAGTTTATGGATTAGTTCGTTTTTAGAAATTGCTCATTACTAAACACATGAACAAACAAAAATAAAAGCGAAATGTAACCTCTTTTTATTATAAGTAACTATAATCGAATTCTGCTTGTTGATTAATTCATTTGAGACTTTTCTCTATCGTTTAAAATTTATTTTAATTGTATTACGCGAACGTTACAATGTCCTGTTTGACGACCCGAATGGCGTAGTCGATAGTGTACCTGCCTTCTGCGCCAGAGGGTGTGGGTTCGATCCCCACTACTGGAAAAATATTGTGTGATGAGCATAGAGTTTTTCTAGTGTCTGGGTGTTTATATATGTATAATGTGTATTTATTTACCAAAGAAAAGTATGTTTATGTATGTCTATCAGTTTTCTAGTACCCATAGTACAAGCATTGCTTAGTTTGGGACTAGAGAATGTTGTGTAAAAAAAAAAAAAAAAAGAACGTGTCCTAAATATATATATATTCCTTTACATTTACCTTAGCAACTAATATTATTCAATTTCCTCGTATTTTCTAGATAATTTAGCTCCCAAATTGACTGCTATCAATTCGTAATACCGCCTCATAATTTTTCCCGAACGTTTCCTTTGCAAAAGTGTAGACAGTCAATGGTTGCACGTGGTTCAGGCATCGTGGCAGTCTGTGGGACACCTATGACCAGCAGTGGAGTACAGTAACTGTGGTAGGGCCACGCAGCGGCCTCGGCTGTTGCACGAATGGGCAGGCTCCTCCGGGCAAGTACCACGACCTCACGTGAAGTGGAAGTATAATACTTGACGTTTCGTCTGGTGAGTGAGGTAGCCGGAGCCCAATTTTAAAAAGGTCGTCAACGCATCTGTAACCCTCGGGTGTAGCAGATGTCCATATGCGGCGGTATTCACTTACCATCAGGCGAACCGCCTGCTCGCTTGTCAACTGTCACATAAAAAAAAACAGAATGATGACGACACGTGACCTATCACCACGCGATTAATTTCCAACCGGCAGGCATATCGATGCAAGTGTTCGCGATACTCAACGGCCACATATCGCCGTACATCCTCGACCCGAATTTCTCGCACAAGCTGCCGACGATACCCTCGGAGGTGGGCTACGTGAACTTCACGTGGCGCTCCAAGAAGCGCTACCACTACAACTTCGACACGCTCACCTCTTCGGACCCCAAGCTCTTGAAGCCGCCCGTCCTCTCCATTAAGACTCAAGGGCGGGTGCCCAAGGCTCCGAAAGGTATGATTGAAATATCGCAAGCGTGCTCACACTGCGAATTGCCCTCGATTTGTGTGTTAGAACAATTAAGTTGTTTCAAGTAATCTTATCAGCAAATAACCTGGACGACAGACTGACAATCGGACTTTAGTTTTGCAAACAATAGTTCCGATGACTATATTTAGTGGTTATTTACTTGAATTTCTTTAGTTTGCTGTAACATTTCACAGAATTAAATGCTATTTAAGATTTATAAATAGTTGTACGCATAAGGAAGTTATAAATATTAAGTAATAACATCGTGGGGTAGCTGTTATTTGATTCTAATCCAGAATAAAGTGGTGATCATGACATCGAGCTGCGGTGAAAACGTGAGATAGAGGTCGCGTGGAGTACACAATTTCTGCTTCAATAAAAAAAAATATATATATTTAAAAGATATAGATACTGTTATTAAGATTATTAAGATAATTATATACTTAAAAGAATTATCTTAAAGACAAAAATGTATACATTTAAAAATAAAATAATTTTGACAAACTCAGTGAAACTACTGATTGTTGACTCCGTGGCGCAGTTGCCTAGGTATTGGCTTCGGCGTCAGGGGTCGTGGGTTCGATTCCCATACGGTACAGCTATTTGTGTGACACGCGAATAGTTGTTTCGCATCTGGATTTTTGTCCACGTGAAATTTATGTTTGTATATTGTCCATGCAACACAGGATATTGTTATCCTAAAGGGCAATGTTTAAAAAAAATATGTCCATCGATGGAAGACTGTAGTTTGAACTGGAGCATTGTTTGCAGAGTTCAGTATATTTTTGATATGCTTGGGCAACAACAGTGGCGTGGCAACGTTCGAAATAGGATTAGTGCTCAAAAATGGCCGGAACATCCCGCTCAAAGGCACACCACTAAGGTTAAACCTAAAGAAGGAATGCGCACAGAGAGGTGTGTATTTAGAAAGGACAGGTATTGTATCGCCCACGCATTTTTAACACTTCAACACTTGTGTTTCTGTAATTGTTAGTCTCAAATCGTAAGTGTAACTTTTATACGAGGTTTTACAATAATTGCTAATCAAAAATTTTAATAATCCGTAGCACTGATTTAAGAAGAAAAAAAAAACAATACCAGAAACACAGGTGTAACGCTTTTAATATTTTTTTCTTTACTGAATTATCCCGTAACATTTTTTTCTACTTCCTCCGAAACGCGATCGAGTCTAATTTCTGAAACCAAGCTTATTAATTTAATTCCCTTGTGCTTTTATATTTTTCCGTTGAAAAGTTGAACCATGTGAATACAAAGACGGAACACTAAGCAAATGGAACAATGCATTTAATCTATTCCCAGCTGCGAGCGCCGCTTATGCTAATACTAATAATACATTTATTAGCCGTCAATGCACGGCGTTGCCGCGACCAGACCCTACTTTTGCTGTGTATAAATACGTCTGTGTTTGTGCTCACGTGTTCGGCACGAACAATACGGCAATTGACATTTTACGGGCAATTTGTTTACGTTTTTAATGGATAACATTTAATAATATACGCCACAACATTTCGCGGTGAAGACATAACATTAAGTGTTGGACAATATAGTTTTTAAAGTAACGAGTATTTTGTAGTCTGTAATGAGAAGCTTTATTGTGTTTTTATATTTATAAATCGCCAGGTCAAATTTATGTGTGCTTGTTTAGCATTTCAATAAGCTTTGGTCGATGTATGTGTTTTTATATGAACATTTATTTATGTTCAAGTCACAAATTGCATTGTTCAAGTATATAAACAATTATACGTTTTATAACTGCCCATTGTGCAAATCCTTGATGCATTTATATTCTGCCGTTAAAGTTTCATCAAAACTCAAAACCACAAGGTTTAATTTACGTTATTTAAAAATGTAAATTTTATTACGACTACGAAATTTTTATTACAGCTTCATATTAATGTCAAATGTCGTATGTTGCCTATATACTAATATGCGTTTCAAGACATGACGCCCTAAAATTAACCTGAATGCATTATTTTCCGGGTGCCTTTTCGTCGAGTACGCTGATTGGCTGAAATCACGGTGCCTCTGCTCACAGCATTTGCGTTTTTAGGTTGGTACACGCTCGCTTTATAAATAACATTAAGGTTAATTACCATTAAACATCCTTTTTAAATAACATAATTTTTAAATAAAGAAAATCCTATATTATTTTTTATCTTTCACTGTCTATTATCTTATTTTTTTAAATTAATCACATTTATGGAAGGTACGTTGACTACTTAAGTTTCTTCAATTAATATGTCAAATATGTATGTCCAATTTCAAATTCAATTCAAAGGGAAGAGGTGTTCAAATATGTTTTTGCCCTTTGAGATAATTCAAGATAAATAAGCAAAGGCTTGGTCATTTGCCAACAACTTTTTTAACAAATTAAGTGAATAATAATTATAAATTTAAAAAAAAACGTTGAAACTCAAAAAAATATCAGCTTAATTTTTATTTTGACGGCTTTTTTGAAGTTTGAAACAGTAATAATGTCATATGGCTATCTTGGTGTCGTCATCTAACGTTTTGTGAAACAAGATCGATCGGTGGAGGAATTCACAGAATTCCCTATGGTAGAGGGCGTGACGAGCGGTGCGTTTGCACTCGGCAGGGCCGGACCCGGAGTGCGACAAGAAGTGCGCCAACCAGGGCTGGTGCAACCACGAGAAGATATGCCAGTGCCCGGAGGGCTACATGGGGCAGCACTGCCGCACCGCCCTCTGCTACCCGCAGTGCATGAACGGCGGCAACTGCACCGCGCCGGGGGTCTGCTCCTGCCCGCCCGGATACCAGGGCCGCCACTGCGAAGGAGGTACCCCTCTTCCCAACTAAAAACCCACTTGCCCCCCCCCCCCCTCCCTCACCCTCCAATACAGGGCGCATCGGTTCCAACATTGCTGTTTTAGGTTTCCGTACCCAAAGGGTAAAACGGGACCCTATTACTAAGACAGCTGTCTGTCGTCTGTTGTCACCAGGATATATCTCATGAACCGTGATAGTTAGATAGTTGAAATTATCACAGATGTATTTCCGTTGCCGCTATAACAAGAAATACTAAAAAAAAGAATATAAACAATATTTAAGTGGGGCACCCATACAACAGATATGGTTTATTGGTCGTTTTTATAGATAATCGTATGGAATCCTTCGTGTGCGAGTCAGACTCGCACTTGACGGGTTTTCAAATGGGATTTGTTTTAAAAAACAAAAATTAAAAACACAAACAAACAAAACGAAAATTCTCTAAAACTGTCGTATATTGACACTAATCTAACACGTAATTTTATTTATTTACCCGTTCATATCTAACGCTAAATGTAAAATTATCACAATGCATTTTATTGTTATGAAGCGCAAACTTGCGTAGTCGCATTATACCTATTCAGTTTTTTTTTTATTTTTGCATATAGGTAAAAAAATATGTTAAACACAATAAACGTGACTTTCATATTATGTGAATAAGTAAACTGACGTAGGACTAATTCGTTATAAATTAAAACCAATACAATCTTCATGCATGTTTTCGGAGACGCTTTTCTTTTGCGACAAATAATAACACTTTCGCGTGTTCGCATGTTCAACTATCGTCCGGATAGTTAAGGCTTCAAGGCGTCACGGGTGCAGGTCGATCTTAAATGGTCTTGGATATCGCGATGGCAACTTTGCAGCCGCCCTTGATGACCTCCGTCAGGGCTCTGTAGAAGGGCGCTTGCTCGGCGCCGTGGTCTATCCCGGTGTCGTGGTGCTCCTGCTCCTCATCGCGGAACTTGGTGATCGTCTCGAGGATCTCCTTGTCCACGTTGGGGTCCTCCATCAGGGTGCGCAGCTGGTCGTTGTAGTGGTCCACTATGACCGTCTCGACGGCGACGGTGCACGCCATGGCGGCCTCTTTACCCAGTAGGGCAGTACCTGAAAGGAGCGTACATAAAATTCTTTATGGATTCGTCTATTGTCACCGATGTATTCGGTATACGGAGGACTAATTAAATTACTCTGCATCACTCTCCATTTACTTCATTTAACAATCCAATCCTTTCTTCATCAATCCAATATTATCAATTTGGAAATTTTCACCAAATGCGGACAAAGCGCAATAATTAACTGTAAAAGTTTATCACATGCCAGAACTTTTAAATTCCCTCCGAAACTCGACCATTTTTGGTATTTTTCCGAGCCCCTAATCATTCTTTATTCGTTCATAACTTCTTTACTGCAGTCAAACAGACTTAACTACACATGGTCCTTCCAGCCGGATCTAGTCACCGCTACCCACGGCTCCAACGAACCAAAAAACCATTCTAAGCGTCCTGCACACGACCATACATACCCAAACCCCTAAAGTGAGCGCGGGTGAATAAAAACCTTCACCTCGCAGCGAGCAGAGTAAACCGTGTCACCGCTACCCACGGCTCCAACGAACCAAGAAACCATTCTAAGCGTCCTGCACACGACCATACATACCCAAACCCCTAAAGTGAGCGCGGGTGAATATAAACCTTCACCTCGCAGCGAGCAGAGTAAACCGTACTTGATGAAACTATCATAACGGACGACTCGAAGCCGCCGCCTTACCGGCGCCCAGCGCGAAGCCGGCCAGGTTCCACAGCGGCGTCATGACCGTCGGCCGGACGCGGTACTTGCATATCAGCTGCTCGAACTTCTCCCGGTGCTTCTTCTCCTGGTCCCACATGTGCTGGATGAGGGGCCCCTCGGGCGTGTTGCCCAGCACCGCCATCTGGCCCGCGTATATCCGGTCCGCGCCCAGCTCGCCCGCGTGGTCCACGCGTATTATCGTGTCGAGCTGTTGGTCGGAATCGCGGTATTACAGAGGTTTCGGCACTCAGCAGAATCGAATCATAATCCAGATGGCGTTGCGATCGAGGGATGCATCAACGTAAACTTTATTATAAGTTATAACGTGCAACTTACCAAGAAGGATTCACATTTTCGAATCTTAAGGTTATTTAGTTACTAATAAACGTGGATTCTTTTTCGCGCCGGGTATCCCTTGCAGCTACTCTAGCGACTAACGCATTACGAGGCAAAGAGATGCAAGGTCTGTATGTAATGGAATGGAATTGGTGCGACCATTCGTTATTGAATGCTTAATACACGACACCACTTCGTACAAATTTGAGATAGCATACAGCTCGTTCAAATGTTGAAATTTAATTTTAAATGTCGGTATATCCTATACGACTTCGTAAAAAATCATATTACACACATTATTGCGTAAAGCAGTTGCCGATTCGTGTAACCCGTTCTGGGAAAGCCTTGCAAGTGTTTTTGAATCAGAATATCCGCTTTTTTTTTTGTATACTAATATCGAATCATTATCGAATTTTAAATTGATACAAATTCGACAGTTAAAATGATGTGAAATTCTAATGGTTAAAACACATTCGGCAGCCAAAATGGCTCCAGAAATATTATCGCATTCACTTGCTAACCGATCATAGTTTTACCAGAAACCATTAGTTTCACTCACGTGAGGATTTTTCTTTAATGTGGCCGAGTGAGCCCTTCGCACCTGGTGCAGAATTGAATTATTTCGCAGCATTGTTCACTCTGAAAAAGTAAAAGACGTCACTAACCAATGTTGTACATGCATGCAAGTTAGTCGAGGACGTAGAGATTGATGATGTTCCTCTATTCAAATTCGAAGTGATATCATCTCAGTCTCTGAGGGTTTACCTAATGTTAAACGAGACTAGGTAGGTTGACAAGATATTCACGTACAGTACTCGGCGATAAATATTGCACATGACTTTTTGAAAGAGATAACCGGCTAGTTTCGGCTTCGTAGTGCGTTATCTCTGTCGCACACTTATAGAACCAATGACAAACGTCAAATAAGAAGTGTGTGACGGAGATAACGCTCTACAAAACCGAAATAAGCCCATTTGTTGATATGCAATATATATCGCCGGGTACTATGTTAATTATTTACTCATTTAGTTAATTCCATTCCAGGTATATGCTCGCAGAAGTGTCTAAACGGCGGGAAATGTATACAGAAAGACACGTGCGAGTGTCCTAAAGGATACTACGGATTGCGCTGCGAATATTGTAAGTGAACCATAGTTATTCTAAAGGTTTTTTAGTTCATGTTTATTAATCCTGGCCAAGAAATGATAAAGATAAGAAGAATAATGACTATTATAGTCACTCAAAGTGTAATCTGTAGTATTTAGTTCAAACGTTGAAAACTAGGAATTTTATAGGAAAGCAATATTTAATTTTAAAAAAAGCATATTGCTCTTTCATAGAGCACATTAGAGACACAGCATATTACAGAGAGTAAAAGACTAACGCCCGGTTTCTGAAACACTGATCATCGTAGAAGTCAACTAATCAGCTGTCAAAAGACTTTTTAAATGTTATTTAAGTTGCTAAAAGGATTGTTAAACTCTTTAAATTGATCATTCTGATCAGAGACTTTAACAATGTTTAACAATGAGTTCAACATGAATTAATAACCATTAGCCGTGGTAAGACGACATAATGTACAAAAAACAAATCTAAACTATCAATCGGCCCTATCTCAGTAGCCTAGGTAGGGCCAAACGGCTCCGACGTGAAGTGGAAGTTATTGTACTAGCCGGGGCCCGCTTTATTAAAAGTTGGCAACGCGCTGCAACCCTACGGGTGTCGCAAATGTCCATGGGCGGCGGTTATCACTGAGCATCAGGTGAACCACGAGCTCGCATGCCACCTCACATAAAAAAGCCCCATCAAAACGTTGCCCCGTTCGCAGCGAAGTGCGTGATCCCGTGCCTGAACGGGGGCCGGTGCAAGGGGGTCAACAAGTGCCGCTGCCCGCCCGGCCTCGGGGGCAACCACTGCGAGGTGGGCCGCAGGGGGGGCGAGTGCGTGCGCCCCTGCCGCCACGGGATCTGCCGCGCCGGCGCCTGCGTCTGCGAGCCCGGCTGGCGCGGCAGATACTGCCACCGCACTCAAGGTCCCACTGGCCACGCCACCCCAATATTAACCCGCCATCACAGTGTGTTTATATTCTTCGAACGTACAAGGCTCCACTCCCACTTGCCACACACGCCCAATATGTATTGTCCCAACACCCACTGTTACATTCACCATTCTACACACATACAAGGTTCTACTCCCATTTGCCACACTCGCCCAATATTGCCCCAGCACCCACTGTTACATTCACCACTCTTTGAACATACAAGGTTCCACTGGCCACACTTCACCAATTCACTATCACAGCACTGATTGTTATGCCCGCTCAATATTGCCTGATCACCCACTGCTCCATTCACCACTCTTTGCGCATACAAATTTCCATTGGCCACACCTCACCTGCTGAATATTGCAGCAACCACTGTTACATTCACTACTCTTCGCATAACTTACCGCAATATGGCCATAGCCACAAAACCTTAAATAATACTACTGCAGCACCTAGAATTATCGTCATGCACAACATACTCACCCCCCGTCAATAATACTAGCACAACACCCTTGATTATACCTATAATACTGTCACCCTAACCAAATTTTAATTATACCTATTCTAGTCACATTGTACCACAAAAGTTTCAATTGCATTCTGCACACTACTTGCAACCAAAAACTCAACATTAAGCTACAAAACTGTGAATGCACATAAGGACATATTGCTCATTTAATGATGCTAAGATACTGCTCCCATATCAAGTTTATATTTTCTACTCCTAACCCGGCTAACCTGTTAACAACCTAACCTTACAATTGATAAAAAATCTCTTAAATTCCTTCAATCTTAAACCTTTCTGTCATTTGTAGCTAGAACATTAATAATATTTATTTTATTTGTAATTTAAAAATAAACAAAATTATTTACAGGTTCTTCAGAAGAATCAGGTGAATTTAAAAGGCCACGGTAGAAGGTGGAACCAGGAAATGTTCTTTATTGTACATTTATTGATACAATTCTAACACTATATAAGTATAATTTGTATAAATAATGTGTTTACTTAATGATCATGTGATTTAATTAAATTAATTAAAGAATTATTATACATACTAATGGTAATGTTATTAAAATTAGTCAATTAGGAAATAGGGACTTAGTTCTAACTTAGATTTAAAATTATGCAATATGATACAATAAAGATAATCTATAACCTCTTGTTTTTGTTTATTGATTAAAACAAAAAAAAAGACTATAACAACCTTTTTTTAAGTTTTCGTTGCATGGACAAACTCACTTTATAATTCTCAATGGTTCAAATGTTCTTTAGCTATTGTGCTAAAGCTGCATTTGTCTATTTATATAATAATAAGAATAATATTTATTCAAATTACAGTTTTCTTTTACAAAATTACAAGCACATTAATTTGTGGTAAATAACATACTGAATACTTAATAATCTATCCTCAATTTTATAAAAAAATATTTTTATGTGAAGAAAATGGAAAAAAAATCTAAACATTGAATCATCAATGCGGATGTTGCTTTAATAAATGTATAGTATATGCAAAGCTCTGTTAGAAATAAAAATACCCAAACTGGAATCTTCAGATGACCAAGTGTTTAAAAAATAGAATTTTTGAAAAAAAAAACAAGTAGAAGATCTGGTGCTGTAAAAACCATTTATGCTAGCATGTTTGCAAAGTAGCAATTGGCTGAGAATGGTAGTTGAGAGACTTTAGTTTATTTTTTCATTCATTCGTTCAAGGTGTAATTTATATAAGTGAAAAATTAGATAAAAATACTTTTATGAAAACCATTAAATTATGACATACTGATGTTATAAAATTAATTACAGAATCTATGTAGAATTGCATATCAGAGGCAAAACAGATGTATATGGATTGCTGAATGTGGCACCCTGTTATCTGCATACTACACGTCAGTGTTCGAGGCATAAGTGATATACCATGAATAACACCATACAGAAAGAAGAGCCCTTTATGAGGAAACCTTGTGGGCTGGACAGAGACAGCAAGAGCAAAGCAGTAGTTTGGAGAATAATATGTATATCATCATCATCATCATTTTTCTGCCCTTATCCCAACTTTGGGATTGGCACATGTGAATCATGATGTAAGCTGTTTTGGCTATGATTATTAGACCGGCTGCATGTCTGACATCAACCTCCTTGGGAAACAAACACCTAAAGTTGGAACAATTATCTGCGGGTCACACAAATACTTGTGCCATGTGAGAATAAAACCCACTTCCCCCAACACCGAAGCCAGTCTAAGCAACTGCACCATCGAGATATGTATGAAAATTATAAAAAATATTACAATATTTTTTAGAATATTAATTTTACGGTTACATACATTTTTTGAATGCACTGTTAATTGTTATATTGTTTACAAAATAATAATAGCCCTGCCATTAAACAACATGAACTGTAAATTTTACCCAGTTGGGAAACTTAAAACAATCCACTATCAAATTAAAATATTTATAATACTGTCAAAATGTTTGTTCTCATCATAGCTGACCACATATACGTCAAATATTTCGTACTTTACTGAAACATGTCTCAAAATCCACTAGAACCTATTTTTAGATTACAATTCTTTCATCAATTTTGAAGCGAGTTTCATAACATGTAATATTTGTTTAGAAATCCAATAGAATTATAGTGATTTTAATAAAAAAATTCAATGAAATATCATACAATCTATTCTGCAAAATCAATTTCACAACGTTATTTCATTCACATGAATATTATTAACACTTACATTTCTTTAGTCTTCACAATGTATCATATCATTTATTTAATGTATTTGGCTGATTAATTATCACACTAGCACAAAATAAACTCGTAAGTACAATTTCACCGCTGAAATATTTACAATTTAACTTGTCAAAGTTAGTTCCTGAAAAGTCACATAGTTAGCGCCACTCGTGACATGATCAATGTTTTCGAAAATAAACTTGGAATTTTTCCTGAACGCTCATCTCATTCATAGCACATTAATTTCCATTAGTATCTATAAAATTTGGCTGCAAATTTAGGTAAGTTTTAGCAGTAAGCGAGCATTTTTAAGTTAGTACTTACACTATTTCAAGCCCAATCCCCCCTCGGGCCGAGGGGCGATTTCCCTTTCCATGTGAAAAGAAAACCACACCGCGCAGACTCGTACAAAATGGCGCCTCGTAGATATGGAGTGTACAATGTTCGCATATCGCGTTTACCGATCGATATCAATGGAGGACTTGAGTTTTTCGTGGTCTCCTGTGTACTTCGTGAAAATTGTGAATACAGTGTCCGGTTAAGTGAAAAAGTCCTGAAAAGTGTAGTTTTGCTTCGGTTACATCATAACAAATTTGCGGAGCTTATAATAGGATTGCAAAATGTCTTTCAAATCACGCAGGTGCGTACGCAGTCGTAGTCTTTCTATTCTGTCTGGGCCTGCTCCAACGCGCGACCCCTTCATGATGGCCATTCATTTGGGCTTATCCTTCACGCCGCCGCAAAAGAGTTTGTGTCATTCGTCTTCAAAATTGTTACGCTGCGCTAAACCGCTTTATGTTGCATCTAAACAAAAACACGAAACAATATGCGACATTTTGCGATACTTCTTTTTAAGTTTGAAGTATTACTAGAATTGATATTTTTGCAACTACAGAGTAGACGTTAATATTTACTTAAGCCTAGCTGTATGCGAGAATGATGAAGTCTCCTTTTTCGCTTCTTTCTATGATAAAATCTGTTTCATCACATTCATTCGGGATAGGTATTGATTTTTCCAATAAGACTAGCTGCCAACATAAATGTAGTTTTTATAAGAAGACTACAATTGTTAATTCTAACTAAACACTACGTTTTTTACTACGAATATCATGTTTTTGTAAAATCTAGATTTTATCTACTAAAACTGATAAACTGTCTGAATAAATATTGATTTCAAGAAGACAATTTTGTAATATCACATAACCATAGCTACATAGTACAGAGGCCTTATAAAAGGTCAGAGGTCATATCCTCTATATTTAGTTTTGAAAGATGACAATTATTACTTTTTATATGAACATTTATAATTAATAGATATTTTATTTATATTAGCACAATAAAAATATTAACTTTATTAGTCATCCACAATTATTTCATTTTATAAATAATTTATGTAGTTGTTGAATAGTTCATTTTTTCATTATGGTATTATATTCGAGTTTTTAATGAGCTTGTGTTAAGATTAGATATCTTCTTAGCCTAACTTGATTTTTTCTTGAGTAACTCATTCTTACTCTTATTTAGGAACATAAATAATAGCATTGCCTTGCCACTATTGTCTCATGAGAAAACAAATATGGTTGTCATAAATAATGCCACTAAATTTTGAAGACAATATGCTGCTTAAATTTTATTCACAGTTTATTTTTCTGTGATTAAAGATAAAGAGATAGGATGTAAGTGTCTTCTTCTAAAGTGATATATACAAATATGAGGTATCTATAACGATAGCAATATATAACGATAGCGATAGCAACAAAACTGAGGCACTAAAATTATGATAGTTGGTGTAATTAAAATGCTATTCTTTATACTGTTGTCTCTTTCCATAATTTAAATTCTGTGTCATCCGTCACATTCACTTATATATGTCATAGAATGTGAAGTGGAACAATTTTTACACAATGCGCAGTATGGACATGTGTCATCTTTATTAAAACATCAGTGTCTATATTAATTAAAGATATGTTATACTTCGGTGTCCTGATGCTCGCTCTCAATTTAATATACTCGAGCAACCTGAGTTCAAAGCCCAGTGCCAGCACCAATAAAATTGTTAATTTTATGTGCAGACTTATCACTTGCTCAGCTGTGAAGGAAAACATTGTGAGCAAATCTGCATGTTTTGGAAATAATAACAAAAAAATTGAAAGAAACGTAACCACGTCCTAATACCCTTTCTATATAGAAGACCTTTGCCCAGCATTGGGAAAAGTATAGGCTTTTACTTTACTTTATATACTTCTAATTTAGCTCTAATACAATTATTGTATTATTATTTTATTGTATTATTATTTTAGTATAAAGAATCATTTGCAATGCACTAATTGTAAATAATCAGTCCTTCAAATATATATGACAAATAAAATTTCATGGTTAGTTTTGATGGAGAAGTTGGCTATTGTTTCTTTTAATAATGGCTTTGTGAGTTACTACAATTCTTCCAATATCAAGTGGTTAGCCATTACATAATTATAGAGGAATGACAGCTGTAAACCATAAATTTAGTTAATAGAGGTTACTGCTCTAAGCATGTTTACCCGAAAAGAAGAATGTCTCATTCACAACAAACCAAACATGAAACAAGTAAGGCTATGGAGGAAATGTTAGATATTTTTAAATGTATAAGGAGTAAATAATATACAACAATAAATGAACACACGTCTGACGCTACTTGTCAATAATCATAAAAAAATATAAACGTTAAACAAAATCCATAATTAAAAAAAAATATTTTTCAAACAAACGAATTAAGTAAAAAAGAAACAAAATTTGTAACACCTATACAACTCGCGCCACACCGTAGCGTTATAAGCCTCTCCTTCTAACAGTATGTTTTGTCTCTTTTAAATTCATTCAAAGCCATTCATATGCTTTGTGACCTTTACAAATGAACTTTACATTACAGTTATATACGTAAGGGTGTTCTAAAATTGTTTGTTTTGGAAAATTTAATAACTTGGTAAATATTGATGTCTAAAGAATGTAAATGTTTAATACAATTTTAAAAAGTTATCCTCTATATGTGTGTTCATTTATTGTCGCGGTGGTAACGACACGCTGTATAAGGGATCATATGTGTTACTATTGAGATTAGTATGCATTAATGCCCACCAACCAACCCTCACAATGATTTATAATTTACTGAGAATTTAAATTTCATTTTAGTTATCAGTTTCTCTCATCTGATGTGTCTTGTATGTCATTCATTAATTGTTCTTAGACAGGTTTTTTTTTGGACATCCACTGCATCTGTATCTGTTTTCTGTATTAATGACTCGTAGAGTTTTTCGTCTACCTTAGCCGTCGCTAAAAAAAAGCACGAAACATCTAACGAGTATAACATTGTCATGTTTATTTATATCAAATGAGAAATATCCAAATTTAGGCATCAATGTTAGGACTGGCGTTTGATTTGCATTAAAGATGATTACAGTTCATTAATTCCTGTTGTTGACCGTGCTAATTCACGTCACACTGCAATTGCCCTAACTCTGCAGCTATTCTGGTGACACATAAAGTCAGTGCCCAAGACGCTTACTGAACGTTCGAGACGTCCACTGTCCACGTGATTGTCACAATTGTTTTGAGACGCCCACGTCAAGAAACGCGATACAGAATTCCCAATTCCCCGTCATCGTACGACGAATGTAATCGAAATACTAATTGAGGATAATTAATTTTTTCATTGTTCAATGATTGTTCAAAAGTTGATTCATGAACAGTCCACTAACGTTACACGCGTTACGTTATACGCGTAACGGCTGTAACATGGTTTACGTTTTAAAATTTAACCGAATTTTTACTTGAAGTTGAAGATACTTCTACTTCTATAATCGACCATATCGACGACATTTCATTTAAAACTACTCGACCACTCGCCTGTTGGGAATTATTATTGAACTATGAAGACTATTGTAATAAAAACGAGCTGGCGGTTCATCATCATTATTTCAGCTTGTATTAGTCCACTTAGATTGTATTCGGCCTTCTCATAGGCTGCTACGAAGCGTGAACCTGAGCCCATTGTATCCATTGTCTCTCCTCACATGAAGATTCACCTGATGACCGCCCGCCCATTGATATCTCCAACATGCGTTACCGATATAATAAGAGCGGGCTATGTTTATTGACTTAACAGACAAAAGGCGAAAGCTTGATGCCTCCACTCAAATCTTCGCTACTTCACGAAAGGCTCTCCCATTCGCGCAAAAGCATCAGATAAAGTGGCTCTACTGCATGTACTTCATCATCATAACTTCAGCCTATTGCGTCACGACATTGGCCTCACCAACAGACCGCAACGAAGCACGATCCTGACCCACGCGCGCCCATCGACTTCCACTCCATCTAGTTGGGTCGTCGTACACTGCACGTTTTTCTTTTTACCTAATCGATGACGTGTGCATCCCTAGCTGCTAATCCCGAGCGGGGGGGGGACATCGGGCGTTCGCGTACGAGTTCGCGTGCCGATAGGGGGCCGACGGAGCCGACCCAATGGTACAGGAGACGAAAGACCGGCAAGAGGACGCCGACACCGAGTACGGAGCGATGAACTCCGCCGTGAGCACCGAGTCGATGGACATGACCGAGGAGGTGAGACGGAGCGGCATTCGCTCGCTGCTAGGGAGCGGTTCTCTTAGGCCCCTCAGCACGCGGGGTGGGGAAAAACCCGGGCAAGTGCGAGTCGGACTCACGCACAAAGGGTTACGTACCATAGTATGTTGCATTTTTAACAGTCAATGGTTCAGACATGGAATCGATCATATTTTGAATAATATGGCTGTGAGCTTATGCAGACCCACGTAAATTTGATTGGTATGAATGTATACCATCAGTGGTATGTCTTAGTGTATGTAGAGTATCCTTTAGATACAGATGGGTAAGTAAAAATATTGTTTCTTAAAAAGCCGACCAAGTGCGACGTTCCGTACCGGTAGGTATAAAAAATGGCCAAAAATAATGTTCTCTGTATGGGAGCCACACTTAATTTTGTTTTTTTTGTTTTTTAGTATTTGTTGTTATAGCGGCAACAGAAATACATCATCTGTGATTTCAACTGTCACGGTTCATGAGATACAGCCTGGTGACAGACAGATAGACAGACACAGCGAAATCTTAGTAATAGGGTTCCCGATTCAACCTTTGGGTACGGAACCCAAAAAAAGAGGATACCTAAGGAGTTTCTTTCCACTGTGGTAGACTTAAAAAAAACGACTTACAATCGATAGATAAAATGTACTATCTTTCTTATGTCGATGAAAAAATTATTTCGATTTTCATCACTTTGACGTTAAAGGAAATGTCCTCGTATCTCTTGAGTGTTTCTTTGTGGGTTGCGCTGGTGCTAAACCTAGTAATGTTACATAAAACTTTTACTTTACGTAAGTATTTTGGTATAATTATGATGTATTGTATGTACAGGGAGGAAAAGGCGTTAAATGTGTTAGTAAATGAACTATATCGCGGATTGTGCCGCGTTACTAGTTATGAGTGCCGTCGAAACTGAATAGATTCTCGTCAACCGCATATCATACTTAGGAGCTCAACACCCGTCATATGGCAGACGACACTGTTCTAATCCACTATAATGTCATGGCATAATTGGGTTATAGCTGTTTTTTTCTGATGCTCGGACTTATTTGCACTATCTACTGATAATTGTCCACGGGCTTACGTAAGACCTTCAAGTACTTGCTGATGTTTTTAAAATAGAAAAAAAATAAGTTACGCAGCTCGACTCATATTGTGCAATGAAAATATTTATTAAGCCATGTAAGCAATGTTAAGTGATAACCGCTGCCCGTGGACGTTTGCAATACCCGCGGGGTTGCAGATTCGTTGCCACGTTTAATAAAGTGGACCACGGCTACCACACTCGCCATACGAAACGCAGAAGTATAACACCTCCACCTCGGGTTCGTGGTACTTAACCGGACGGACCTGCCCAAACGTGCAACAACGTAGACTGGTTGCGTGGCCATACCGAAGTTGTTAACGCTAATGCCCGGTTCCTACATTCAAGGAACGGCCGTTAGTTACATAGCTTCGTAACTTTCATAACGACTTGTAGGTAGATAAAAGGCGTGTACGCCCGGTCCCTATATTAACAAAACGAGGCGTTTTCCTACGGAAAGTGAGTTACTAGCGTTCCATTAATCTACAAGTCGTTAAAGTTACGAAGCTACGTAACTAACGGTCGTTCGGAATATAGGAACCGGGCATTACTCGTCGAAGATTTGATACCCGCCCTAACGGCCGCCGATCGCGTCCATTTAGCAGGAGATGTCGCAGGCTGAGGGGTGTCTGAGCGGCGGCTCGGAGGACGATGACGAGTGCGCCTCCTCGCCAGCCGGCTCCACATACGAGGAGTCGGGCGACGGCATCAAGGGCGCCATGAGCGACGAGGTCACCAAGCAGCTGGCGGCCGCAGGTGGGTCGGCACCCTCGCGCCCGCTCCAACATATAGGGTCGGGCACTGGCTAGAGGGGGACGGAAAGCGTGCGTTGCCACTGCGCCCTCCCGCTCTGACCTATGTTGGCCAACACGGGCCGGACATAGACAGCGAGCGTCCATCGAGCAACCTTTAGCTGTCTCTCTCTCTTGTTGATTCGACTACACGGGCCAGAGCAAGATGGCCATCTGTTATCGCTTCTCCCATTTCGCTTTTCCTATTCTAAACAAAGACTGGACTCTGGAGTGTAAAGCTACATTCTCTACCTACAGCTTAACTTTAAATGAGAGTTGAGACTGGTCCTATTACACTCGTATGAGCTTCACGGAACTGCCAAATCTGCAGCAATTATTTCGATACAGAATTGAAAGGAATCTATCCACAGTATATTACTATTTATGACGATCTGGCCGCCATCACTCTATATTGTTTTTGCTACAATGCAATGTTCCTGGGTTCAATTCCCACGTAGTATTAAATGACTGCCAGGCTATTTGTTCACCCATCTTGATGTTACTTATTTTTAAAATGAAAACAGAGAACAAGGAAAATAAGTCTAGCAATCGTTTAACGGCATGGTAATTGTGAATATAGGTGAGGCTCTGTGCTCAGGTCCGGTGGGTATGGCGGCGGCGGCGGCGATCGCCTCCTCGAAGAAGCGCAAGCGGCCCCACTCGTTCGAGACCAACCCCTCGGTGCGGAAGAGGCACCAGAACAGGCTGCTGAGGAAGCTCAGGGTGAGTAGCGCTAAGGAGAGTTTTTTTTATTTGCGAACTGTTACGGGACTAAATTGAAATCCGTTTTTAAAAAAAGATTATTTATTATAAACTGTAAAAAACACTAGTTATAATTATGAAATATTATTAGGGATCCTTGGGCAGCCGTTATCGCGCGTGTATACTTTAACGGATCGTCTAGACTGACGATAGGTTCATGATAGACTGGTGGGAGCGCCGAAGGATGGGTTCAAGTACAGAAAGAAATGATGATAAGGGATTTTGGCATGGTGGGGAATAGGGAGTTGTAAGCATAACCCCTTACATTGACCGGTTATAACAGAACGTGGCAAGCGAGCCGGCGGTTCGACCGATGGTAAATGATAACCGCCGCCCATGGAGATTCTCAACGTCCGTAGGGTTGCAGATGTGTTGCCACCTATAATAAAGTGGGCCCCGGCTACCTGCTGTGGTCCACGCAACAGTATTCTCTGTTGCACGAATGGGAGTGGCGCCAAGTTGAAGTGTTATACTTGTGTTTCGTCTGGCGACTGAGGTAGTCCGGAACACTATTAAACGATGGCAACGTCTATTACATGTAAAAGCATATACATGTTTGATGTTGATATGATGTTAACGTAGGGCCACGCAGCAACCCCGTCTGCTGCAAGAATGGGCAGGCTCGTCCGGGTAAGTAACACGGCCTCACAGAAGACCTGCGTAAAGTGGAAGTATAATACTATCGCGTTTCGTCTGGTAAGTGAGGTGGCCGGAGCCCGATATTTCAAAAGGTTGTCGCTTGGCAACTGATCCCGTGGTGGGGGCGGCGGCGGTGTTGCAGCAAACGATCGAGGAGTTCGCGACGCGCGTGGGCCAGCAGGCGGTGGTGCTGGTGGCGACGCCGGGCAAGCCCAACACCTCGTACCGCGTGTTCGGCGCCAAGCCGCTCGAGGACGTGGTGCGCAACCTGCGCTGCATGATCATGGAGGAGCTCGAGAACGCGCTCGCCCAGCAGGTAGCCCGAAGTGGACGCACGCACGCACGCACACCGACAAGGACACGTGCGCACGAAATCGACACGCGCCCACACAGAGACACACGCACGCACACTGACAAGTACACATGCGCACGAAATGGACACGCGCGTACACAGAGACACACGCACGCACACTGACAAGTACACATGCGCACGAAATGGACACGCGCGTACACAGAGACACACGCACGCACACTGACAAGTACACATGCGCACGAAATATACACGCGCGTACACAGAGACACACGCACGCACACTGACAAGTACACATGCGCACGAAATATACACGCGCGTTCACAGAGACACACGCACGCACACTGACAAGTACACATGCGCACGAAATATACACGCGCGTACACAGAGACACACGCACGCACACTGACAAGTACACATGCGCACGAAATGGACACGCGCGTACACAGAGACACACGCACGCACACTGACAAGTACACATGCGCACGAAATATACACGCGCGTACACAGAGACACACGCACGCACACTGACAAGTACACATGCGCACGAAATATACACGCGCGTTCACAGAGACACACGCACGCACACTGACAAGTACACATGCGCACGAAATATACACGCGCGTACACAGAGACACACGCACGCACACTGACAAGTACACATGCGCACGAAATGGACACGCGCGTACACAGAGACACACGCACGCACACTGACAAGTACATATGCGCACAAAATGACAAGTACATTTATGTGCACATGACTCGCAATGAATCATTCCAAATGTGGCCGTCTCAGGTATTGTCCCCTGGAACAAGAGCCGTCTCTTTAGATAAATTAATTTAAAGAGGCACGAACGCACATCTATGCAGGGGGAAATCAAAGACGACCCAGTTGGAGTAGTGGATAGTGTGGGTTCGATTCCCATTACTGGAAAAATATTGTGGGGTAAACATAGTGTTTTTCTAGTGTCTGGGTGTTTATATATTCATAATATGTTTTTTTCTAACAAAAGAAAAGTATGTTTAAGTATGTTTGTTAGTTATTTAGTACCCATAGTACAAGCTTTGCTTAGTTTTGGACTAGATAGCATTGTTTAAAATATATGGTCTCTAATATTTATTTATTTATTAAATAAGAAAAATTAAAACGTCGACATAAGTTTTCACAGTTTGCGGTTTCGATTTCGCGACTGTTGCAATGTCTGTCTTCGTGCAATGATTGATCGATTGTTTGGAAATAACGGATTAGATAAATTGGCATTTGTCATCGATATCTTCATAATTACTTTTGTTTTGCATTTGACAAAAAAACTGTTAATTTATAACCCTTTATAACCTTACAGTAACTCCTATGCATATCACACTAAATGTCGATTTGATCGAAATCACAACATGTAACACGAAAAGCCACAACCACACCGCCCGCCGCCTTCGGGTAACGGGTTATCAAAAGCGGGTGACGGGTGGTGATGGATCGCGCCGCCACTGGCCGTTATCAAAAACTGCCACAACCGCACCGCCCGTCACCTTCGGGTAACGAGTTATCACAAGCGGGGTGACGCGTGTCACTTGTCACTTGGCTGCCATGACACAAAAGCTGCCACAGCCACACCGCCCGCCACCACCGGCCGTGGCGGCGGCGGTGGCGGTGGCAGCGGTGGCACGATGACGAGCCCCAGTTCGGGCTGGGCGGGTGCCCGCAGGCGCCGCCGCCGCCGCAGGACGACCCCTCGCTGTTCGAGCTGCCGCCGCTCATCATCGACGGCATCCCCACGCCCGTCGAGAAGATGACGCAGGCGCAGCTGCGCGCCTTCATACCGCTCATGCTCAAGTACTCCATGGGTGCGTCTCGTTCGCCTCGCGTTCCTATATTCAACTAACGGCCGTCAGTTGAATCTAGGCTATAGCTACCTCGCTCACCGGATGAAACGCTGAATTCAGCTCGCGACGTTGCCACATTATGACAGAGTAGGCCCCGGCCACCCGAAACGCGGAGTTCGGCTTCATAACATGGTGTGAAAATGGTGATTAGAAAAGTTCCCATTGCCATTCCGTGGACCGCCTCCGCTGTTGCACGAATGGGCAGGCTCGTTCGGGTGTCAGAGTACACCTTTATAAGGATGGCAACACATCTACACAACCACTCTTGTGTTGCAGACGTCCAGGGGCGGCGGTAACAAAAAAAAAGTATCAAACTCGTGATGATTATGTGAGCAACTGGCAGTGCCTCTGAAACTTGCCATACAATTTGTAAAGAAGTGCTAGTTGGGTCCGCGTTAATATAATTTTATGTTAAAGAAAATTTGCTGTCGCGGAACGCCTGGAACTTACGAACTTATGTATTGATTTTTATATAAAATTCGTCCTTTCATAAGAACTCGCAAGCGTCTCTATTTCAATAAATATATTTTGAATTTGAGAAGTGTAACATCGAAATTATGTTGTACAGATAATATGCATAAAAGGATATTTTAGGGCATATTGAAAAATAAAACAATATTTTTTTTTTAAAGAAAAAGATCTATTTGGTAAACAGTTATATTAATTTAGCACAAATATTAGAGTTCGAATATTTTTTTTCTTTGTCACACCATTTGCTTATCACGCGCGGCGACGCGGCGACGCATTACGTGTTAGTAGCACGCCGCCGCAATAAATGTTTCATGTCAAAAAATACGATCCGGTCCACTAATTGGAATCTGCCGGAACAAAACCTATAGGACTTACCTCAACCGTCCAGTGCGACAGGGCCGGACTTAGAGGTCTCGGGGCAACGAAGGAATGGAAATTATTTTCCATTGATTTGATCGATCATGTTTCTACAAAGTACTGTAGGTAAAGGTAACAAACGCTGTGGCGCGGTCGCCCCGCCTAAATGCGGCCCTGCGCGCGATGTGTAACAGAAGGTCCGTTGCGACAGTGCGCGGCAAGCCGGGCTGGGGCCGCGAGTCGACGCGGCCGCCCTGGTGGCCCAAGGACCTGCCCTGGGCCAACGTGCGCATGGACGCGCGCTCCGAGGACGAAAAGCAGAAGGTGAGCCTTTCAATAAGGTCAATTGTGTTACATCTTTATACAGCGCTATGCCCCTTGACTTGTACCTTTTTAAATATACCAATGCAAAAACTGTGCAGATCAAATATGTATATATATATTAATTATTTTATATATATGTATGAAATGATAATAATAATAAAACACGCGCACCGCTACCAGCCCGGTTGATGTACGCGGCGGTGACAGCCCAAAAAGAAAATTAAAAAAAAAAAAAAACATGTTAACCAAAAAAAAGAGTACGGACCAAGAGTATGTAGAGTTACTTTGTTAAAAAAAAATATACCTATGACGAATAACCGATTTCTCTCACTTTATTAAACATCGTCCACTTTTCTTCAACCATCAAACATAATATTATGGTACGTTTAAATATAAACCTAATATGAAATAATAAACGATAAACATTTTAGGAATGTAATGTTGCACAAGTGTATTACACATTTTCGTTACAAAAACAAAACCCACTTCCGATTTACAGTCCATATACTGGTGATTATATTTTGTGTATAAAAATAAGCTGAAGCAAAAGAGAAAAATATCTATTGCTACCCTAACGCCCGGTTTCTGAAACACTGATCATCGTACATGTTAACGAATCAGTTGTCAAATGGCTTTTAAAATTTCCTATGAGTTGCCAAAAGTATGATTAAGTAAGTTTAACCATCCTTTTGGCAACTAAAATGACATTTAGAAAGCCATTTAACATCTACGACGATCAGTGTTTCAGAAACCGGGCGTAAATCTTTACATTTGCCAATCTAAATGGGCATCCTTTTCCAATTCCTTAAGTTTGTTACATAACTACCGTCCGATCACCGAATCGGCCGTGCGCAGATGTCGTGGACCCACGCCCTGCGCCAGATCGTGATCAACTGCTACAAATACCACGGCCGCGAGGATCTGCTGCCCGCCTTCTCGGAGGAGGACGACAAGCCGCAGACGCAGCCGGTTGGTACCGAACACGCACGCAGACGCGCACACACATGCACTTGGACACGACAATGACCGCAACGAATACGCACACACAACTACACCAGTAATTATCACTCAACGTTTCGATATATATTTACAAACACGTAAATAAATACCGAGATATATATAATAATATGTCTTAACTGGGACGTCTAAAATTTACACATATAAACGTTATACCGTATAAACGCAGACTTATACACTTCTGTAGCATATCAACAAGCAACACACACACACATACAATTAAATGACGTCAAACCGGCACCAATCGCCGCGACTACATTGTTTGTTCTGTGCGCACGCCTCATTGGGAATGCCGCCCCGGACGGATGGTACGGTAACGTATGGCCCGCCAGATATCCGCGTGCATGCCGAACGCGAGCTCGAACAACTCGTCGAGCGGCTCGTCGAGCGGCGCGCGCTCCGCCGGCCAGCAGGCGGCAGTGCTCTCCGCCTCGCAAGTCTGCATCGACCAGATGACGCTGGCCGACGTCGACGTACGCAAACATGGCGAACCACCACCCACCACCCACCACCCACCACCCACCACCACACGGCCACCGCTTGCGAACGGAACCACCAATCGTCTATTAAGGGAGTCCACAGTTGCCCTGTAAATGGTGAAAGTAATTGTGAATCCCGCTCAAATGCAAAATGAACTTCCATTGAAAGAAAGAAAGAAAGAAAGAAGAAACGTTTATTCACGGTCTAAAAACAAATGAATACATACAAAACTTAAAAATAATAATGTAACTACACAGAAACTTAAAATAAATGTAAACATAAAAATAAGCAAACAAAATAACAGTAAGTGACGGTCTGTGTAGCAGCATAAGACCGTGAAACGGACGTGACTCGGTAAAAGTCGAGATACAGTAAAAGTAACATTGTGTAGTCCTTCTAAAAATTGTATGGAAAAGTTTCTAAATATAAACAAAAATTAACAAAAAGTTTCGGCGCTGCCGGATTCGAACCGGCATTTTATTGTTTCGCGCCCCGACGCTTTACCAACGAAAATAAGCGGCCGGTGACCTCACGGTGCGAAGAAACCAAGACTAGACTAGAAAGAGAAAGACTAGCACTAATAAAAATAAATTTTGAACAAACTTTCTAGCCTATTCTATGAAAGCGCTGAAAATCAAACGACTGTCGTTGATTTTTCGTATACGACGACATTATTGCTTTTCTCTACAATTTATTGGTAACGAATTTATAAAACTGTAATTTAAACATAATCGAAATTAACATTGAACCTACTCCGAGGAACAATGTCGGTGGTTCTGTTCGCAACATTCGCCAGATGGACGGACAATTATGGGTGTACTTTTAAATTAAAGAAAGCAGAAGTTGTACAGGAATGAGTTTGGATGTAACAAGGATGTTTAGGACTAAAAAAACAAACTTGTTGTTTGTGTGTGATTGCTATCCACACAGAACTGTATTTCTCAAGTATCTGTTGTACTTGTGTTTAGAATTTAATAATAAGTCTTACGAAAAACTTACATTTGGCAAATTGCACTTTTATGTTCTAATAATTTTGTGAATAATATGAATGAGAAAAATAGTTAAATGTTGCGAGAGAACAAATTTACACTGGCCTGAGTATAAGTTCGGTGTTTTATACGTTTCGCAGATGTCTCAATACGCGCCGGCAGTTCTTCAGACCATCACCAACCCCGACGGCACTGTGTCACTGATCCAGGTGGACCCGGGCAACTCCATCATCACTTTGCCAGACGGCACCACCGCACAAGTAGTCAGTGTAATTACACCTCTGCTAAGAGATAATTTCACATGAAGCGACATCTTTCGACGACAATTCTGCTCTGCATCTCCATATATTCTGCTATAATGCTCAGTGTCTGGGTGTCCGCTATCAACTCAATATACTGGAGCAACCTGAGTTGAAATCTCGGTACCGGCACCAATAAAATTGTTAATTTTGAGTGCTGAGTTATCACACGCTCAGCGGTGGAGGAAAACATCGTGAGAAAATCTGAATATATGTAGTCTGCCAATTCGCAGTTGTGTCGCGTGGTGAAATATGCCTTATTACCTTCTATTAAAAGCCTTTGCCCAGCAGTGGGACTCGTATAGGCCGTTTCATTACTTTCTCTTTGCTGATTAACAAACATGGCCGTGCACAGATCCATGGTGAGAGCGGTGCCAGTGGCGTGGATGGTGCAGTAGCGGTGGACCTGAACGCGGTGGCAGAAGCCACGCTCAACCACGACGGGCAACTCATACTCACCGGCGAGGACGGTCACGGTGATTATATTTTGTGTGGAAGATGTGAAAATACTACCAACCACTACAACCAAGAAGATGTTACATAGTTTATGTAATGTAATACTTCCAAGCATTGTCCCCTTATCATGTGATAAAATTATCCTGTGTTGTAAACATGTTTTACGTATATAAATTTGGAGTGGACACAAATAGTTGTCTACAAATTTTAATGTCCCATCTCAAGTGAAAAGATTAGCACTGAGAAAATTTAAATTTCATACAATAATTTCTGGAAATCTCCAACAGCGTATCCCGTGTCGGTGTCTGGAATGATCACTGTGCCAATGTCGCCGTCGGTGTACCAGTCTGTGATGGCCTCCATGCAGCAACAGGACGGCGTTTGCGTCACACCGATAGTGCAGGTCTCCGCACACTGGCGACGCCCCACTATACGCACACACTAGCCGATATCTTATTAACATGATGGGGACAAACCACCAACGTCCCCTAACCTTGGGTGATATAAAACTCATTACCCTAGGGTGACGTAACACCCATCTAAGGTGTTATGTAATGAATCCCTGGGTGTTACCTAAACCCAATAAGCTCGGGTGCCAATCGCTCCCCAAAATTGGTTACAAAAGTAAACTTTACAATTCAATAATGTAGAGTCAGAAGTTACCATGCCTCAACATGTTTTAATGTGCCACTTATCTAATTGCCAGAATACAAAACTTACTAATGTAATCGGCAAATTTGATCCTAACCTTGTAATCAGAGGCCTATATTTCCTCTTTACTGAAAGAATGTTTATTTTATGCATTTAAATAAAAAATCAAAAAAGGCTTTAGGTCCTTAAAGATCCATATAATGAAGTAGTTTTTTGGCATTGAGTGGAATATAATAGTGCTTCTATCACATTTGTAACTAGTTTTTTCTTTGCCTTCAGCTTCCAGATGAACTACTCAAAAGTCTAAACATAGATAAAAGCTCGTTACAGAAATTTGATTTAGATTTTTTTTAGTTAAATGAAAAAATTGTGTGCAATGGTCTTCATAGTGCCATTTGTTAAAATAAGCCCCACTTGTGATATTTTTGTTTGAACACCGATATCTGGAATGTCCGGATGTCTTGTTTTAAATATTTTCGTGTGCTTAGTCTAGTATTAGAATGCTTGTGTTTTGCTGCATGCTTATTTTTTTTATGCCAAAGTTGATGTTTTATTTTGAAACTAGTTAATTTTATTTAATGTATTATTTACTTTTAAGGTCTTCTAAATTGTCAGTTGTAACAAATAGTTAAATCAGTATTTACTCATATGTTGCTCGCTGTTTCAATAATGATATTTAATTATAAATTCAACAAGTAGTAAACACTGTTACCATTACATAAGTTAAAATATTATAATGTGCAATACATTTTAGCACTCAAAATTTTCAAATGGTAAAATATTAAAATTAATTTTTAAAGCCATTGTTATTCTCGTAAAAAAAGTTTAATAAGGCTGTATTGTTAAAATTATCTATAAATATTATAAAATAATTAATAGAGACAGCGAATATTATATATATGATATTTAGCTATTATACAAATTAATATCAAAGATTTTGTCTTGTCTTTAAATTATTTGATATACATACATAAATATGAAACAGTGCAACATAGAAACATTTAATCTATCTAATCCTAGGGTAAATTACGGCTTTCGTGTTTCTTTTACGTGTGTTGTTTGAATTTATAGTATAATGTTTTAATTCCATATATGATTGCCCAGTGATATCAAAAATTATTACATACAGTATTGTAAATATTGGTGAGTTATTGTTGCTTATTTACGTTATTGTTTATGTTTAATATACAATTTTATTTACGCATGCTCTATGTTGATTTCATATTTCTAAAAGTCTAGCCATAATCATAATACCCAAAGAATTTCTGTGATTTATGATGTATACGGACAATGTAATTGAAATTGAGGTCATATTTCATTACTTCTAGCTATAGTTTAAGTTTGGCTTCTTTTGTGAAATATTTCAATATGCCTCCTTAATGTCTGTAATGAAACTGAATTTAAATGAACATTTTACTACAAAGTTTTGAGTTTATTTTTGTGTATTGCTTAAATATTTTACTGATATATAACGAGGCATGTATTTTATTTGAACTTGCACCTGCATTAAGTACTGAACGCTTTGTGTATTTCAGTTACTGTTTATACTTTGCATTTGCACTATTATTGCAGTTTGTGTAACACAACGCTCATATCTATGGATAAATCTGCTGAAATGTTGTCATAGTTCAAATTGTAGTGTATGATGTCACATTTTCCAAATGCATGGTACAAACTTCATCATGCACTAATAAATTTTTGAATGGTCAAGTTTGTTTGTTTCATTTGTGTCGTGTTTTTGTTGTAAGGCTATATCGGCGTTTGTCTGCTTGTCAAGGTGCGTATCAAACCAATAGTCTGTTTGCTTGTTTGTTTTAAGCTATCAAGAGACTAGTCTGTAACCGTTGATGGATGACAACTGTTGATGAATTATTAGTTTAAAATTGTAGAAAAAAGTACAATAAGTTTCGCCACTGTGGGAATCGAACCCCACCCTCGCGATTCACGCCCAGACGCTTTAGCCACTAAGCCAGGCCGATTGCTACACCGAAGAAAATCTCAACGTATTGTATCTTCACTGTTCTTTCGCATTTCAAGCAACGCTTGGCGCATCCAATGTTTGGACAGTGTTTAAAAAAATATTGTGTTGAGAGCACTACTACGACGCCTTACGTACATAAATTTCACGTGGACAAACAGGGTATCCAGGTTGGGGTTTGGCTGATGTCGATGTACCGTGCGCAGGTCGAGCAGGGAGGCGAAACGCTGGAGGCGCTGTCCATGGGCGGCGGGGTGGCGCAGGTGATGCTGCAGAGCGGTGGCGAGGCGCAGGTGCTGCAGGTGCTCAGCCTCAAGGACGCCACGGCGCTCTCTAAGGCAATGGTAACGGCACGAACAGATGAAACTCCGTTACAGCCGCGGTAGGGCCACCAATGGGCAGGTCCGTCCGGGGGAGTACCACGACCTCGGAAGACCGGCCCATTTCAACACCCGTAGGGTTGCAGATACGTTGCGACCTATATATTGCCACCTACATGATATCGTTGGCCCCAGCTACCTCACTCACCAAACGAAATGCAGAAGAAAATTTCCACTTAACGCTCGTCTTCTGTGAGGTTGTGGTACTCACCCGGACGGACCTGCCCATTTGTGCAACATAGAAGACTTGCGTGGCCCTAGTTAAACGTTCAATTATCAAGTTCACTACTGTTCATTGGCGAATAAATCCTTTGACTTAAAATAAGGTTTTTATTAAAGATTAAATTATTAAGTTTTATGAAAAAGATTAAGTATGACGCGGCCAGTACAAGCGCCAATATTTGACATTTGACCGGCAGGCATAATGTTTTCACAGCAACAACAGCAGCAGCAGCAGGTGAAGTCGGAACGAGAGGCGGTGGTGAGCGAGTCCTAGCTGGCGTCGATGGTCTCGTCGCCCGGTGAGCTGTTACAAGAGCGCACCTAGCGGAGGCCCCAGCGGAGCCCCACGGAGTCCGAATAGCGGGGACGGTCGCAAAATCTAGGCAAATTTCATCCCCGACGATACGAGAGAGCGGGCTTTGGAGGCGTCGCTGGTAAATCTAGACAAATTTCTATTCGGCTAAAGAGGCTGAAGCCCCCAGCCCGCCTAATGTAGTGGAATGCAGGCGTTCATTCTTCTCTCCGCTCCCATCCCAAGATCTGTTTATTAACGCAGTTTGGTCGAATCGGACTTTAATTAGAAACGTTTTTTGTAGTCTGCCTCACTTGCGAGCAATATCTTTTACAAACAAAGTGTTGAATGATTATTTTTATGTTATTTATAAAGTATTACTTTAGTGACAAAATGGGACCTTTAAAAAATATCCAACAATCTCTTCTTTATCCTACATTATTCCATTGTAGAGTTCTAGAACTACATTTCTAAAATGAGTCATGAGTCATTTTAAACAATTGCAATAATAAGTCCCAAAGTTGTGCAATATATTTATTTTAAAGTAAATCTATTTATTTTTACACATGCTCAGACAGCTTCAGTTTATTTAATAACATAGCTGCACATTGAGAGCAATATTTATTTATGATCCTAACTTACATTCCTTTAATTTATTAAAACCTATTTTAAGTGTGTTTGTTAAAACAGTTGTTGTTTGTTTAATTTCGTTTATTTTAATTTGTTGTGTCTACATTATTCTAGTCTGCTCCAGTCATAGCAAATCATTCTAGTCTTGAATTTGTATAAATATGTGAAAATGAAACATAAGGTGTGATTAACTTAGATTTATTTATACATGTCTATGTATTAAAAACTTTTGTATAAATAATATTCATGGTTAGATAATTTCTTGTAATTATAATAATCCTCTGTAAATTCTTTACCAGTAGGAAAATATTTCAGCGCAGGGTTACAATAAGTAATAACTTTGTTTAAAAAAATTACTAGGATCATTTGACAAATTAATGTGATTTCAATAAACATATTCTGAGGCATTATTAAATACAAAGGATATTGTCCAGTGATCTTCTAGTTGATATGTTCAAGATGTATAGGTTAATGTTTAGCTGTATAAAAGCTTTTAGCTGCTTACATGCAGCGCCAATAATTGGCAACCTTTAGTTTTTAAGGATTCGTGTTACACATAAATAATTTAAAAAACTATATCCATTGCTAGTTTTAAGGTAGATGTCATAGAAAAGTACAAAGAGAGAAATGTAAACTCCCAAGTGTATTTGATGTGTTTCACAAAAGACAGGTGGAATAGCCAGTGTTAATGTTTTATTTTGTGCATTGTGTTCAGGTCACATTTTTATGTTTATTTTAATTTTATTTTACCACCATAGAAACCATTGTGTTCTGTACTTTATGAATAAATGAAATAAAGCACAATTTTGTTATTAAGTACAATAATTTGTGATTGTAAATAAATGGTACGACTGTGTGAATATTGCAATCATTAAAATATTTACGTATATAGTGTATTTATTATAAAACCTTCTGAATAAAAATTCAAGTTAGAATCATTTATCCTGTGTATTTCTTCCTGCGGTTTCTTTAAAAAAAATATTTGTTATAACTTGTTCCTTGTATGCATAAGAATACTATCTCTCCTGATGGTAAGCCAGATGTAATCTTAGATGGTATACAGGCTACATTAAGCATGAACATTAAGAAATAGGTGAACCTTCGTTTGCAGGTGTAGAATGTCAGTAACAAATGGATGTGGTCCTGCAGAGCGCCTAGTTCTATCCAGTGTACAACAGTAGTATTTGGGTTTGGTCTAGTTGTCACTGTGACATTTATCTAGCTGTTTGCCGCTTTCTGATTCTGGTTATACTGTTTTGTGGATAAAATTACAAGCCAGGCAGTTCACCTGCTGTCAAGTGATTACGGCCATCAATGGATATCCTGGTAAATGGCTTCACACAACAATTGGTAGATAGCTTTATATAAAGCGAAGCGCGAAACTAATTAGGTATAGTTTAAGGACAGCGGCAGCTGCTGCCGGGCCCTACCTCAGGGCCAAACTGAAATACGGTACTTAATGGTTGTCTCAATGTAAGATCACCTACGGATCATAACATCACAACTTTACATGAGAATAAATTTTGGATACCCAAAATTTATTCTGTTTTTTTCATACTACATAATTATAACCATTGCTTTGTTAGCTGACTTACTGGTAATGTTGAACATAATATGGTATTTTGTATGTATTATTAGAATACAACAATACCATCCCATATTTGATATCCGATAAATGGATATAACAGTTAATTTTGTTATAAATCAAAAATTTATCATTTCTCATTAATTGCCTAATACAGGCAAGTATTTGTTTCACAAAAAATTTTCTTATTTTTTAAAAACATTGCCCTTATTCTCTTTTTTTATTATCCTAGAGTAAGGTGGTGTAATGTTATCTTAAAGTACAAAAATTTCATTTGGACAAACACCATAATGCGAAACAACTGTCTGTGGGTCACAAAAATAGTTGTCCGTGTGGGAATTAAACCCACGACCCCCAACACTTAATATGGATGAGAACTGTGCACAATTTTCATCCATACTAAGAGTAAGTAGTCAAAGTTTTTAAATTAACAAATTTTTTGTCGTAAATTTAATGTAATCAAATTCTTATATATCTTGGAAAGACATTAGTCTATATATTAGAGATATAAATTTGCAAATACTTTGCCGTATTTTAAAAGCTTGAATTAAACTAAGTTTTGTGAATATTTTATAACTTTACCTTTTTTAAACCATACAGATTTTATTACATTAACATTTTCATCTGTTTATGTAAAATATTATTCCTGACCCATCAATTCAAATAAAAAAATTATATATAATATATTGAATAGGGAATAAGTATTTATCTAAAATGAAACAATATGACTATTCCTCTAATGTTTAATACATTAGATAAAAGCTGGTCGATTTTTAAATGATGAATCTAAGAAAATATTGCTAAGACAGATGCAGTGCACAAATCAATAACATAAAGTTGACAACAGAACTATTATACACATTCTTCTACAGCTTAAATTGATTATTTCTGGTAGTCTTAAACTTCATAAACACTTTCCAATGCTAATTCTGGTTTATCATAACCAAGTTCTTCTGGGGTCTCAATGCCAAGTTCAGTAAGTGTGGGTTTGATTTCTTGGATGATGTAAGGGTAGATTTCATTAACTTTGTTACCACATTTGTCTTTGCAGGCTTCAATAAACCTGATAGCAAGAGCATAGTCATTTACTCTTCGGCAAGCATGGAGGGCAGCCTTTATGATCCTCGGGTCTGGGACAAGGTCCATACCGCATAAGTCATTCATACCTTGGCGGATTTCCCAGCCGTCAATATCTTTTCTGTTGAAGTATGCTTCGTATCTGAAAACATTCAATTTCAAGTTACAACTAGAGTAACATTTCATAAACGATTGGATGAGAAAAGCAATACTGAGTGATATTTAAATATAATTTTACAAATTTCTGTACGATACGTTATCAAATAAATATCGTGGAGGAGTTATCAATTTGTAACAACAGCATGTTTAACCCAATCAGTTCAGGTATTATTTTAAAATTTGACAAAATAAGAAGAAGGTTATTTTAGCATACAGTTTAGCTTAAACACTTTAAAAAAACTGCCGATAGGAAAATATAAATCTCAATTACATAACGTCAAAACTCATAGCTAACCTGCTATCGAATTCTTCGTCGGATTCAACGGGGCCATCGTGCGATCTTCTGACTTGGACTGCTGCGCTGGCCCTCACTGTCGGAATAAGGGACCTTTTCAAGACATTAACTAAGGTTCCCGAGGCGGATTTCAACATTTTGACTGGTGTTACTGAGACTTTTAGGATAACAAATGGCTACCGAAGACTATAGACAAGTAGAACACTGGTGCCTAATCTATAGTCAATATATAAACGTCCTGAAATGTGTTGTCATAATAAATAAACTACTTCTGGGGAGGAAAAATTTTGCATAGAGAATTTACCACAATAAGTAATGTAAAAATTTTTATATGAGATTTTATGACGAAATTAAGAATCTCGCAACAATTTAATGTCTGAGTTTAAATTGTAGTGAATACTACAATATATGCAAACTGCAAACTGGACAAACAGAGCTTCCTCATCACGAAAAAGGATACACATTGAACTTTAATCAGAATATCATATCTTATATGGAAATAAGATCTAGAATTGCAGATTCTTCAGAAACATATAGGTTCTTCTCTATACAGAGGGTTTCTTTAACGTGAGGAACTGGAAAGCAAGCTGACAGTTCACCTGATGTTAAGTGATAACCGCTGCCCATAGCATTGACTCCGGTTACTTCACTCACCAGATGAAATCTTATCAAAATAGAAGGGACGTATTAAGCAAATATAAGATAGGAGACATCTCCCACTGATCCTACGGACAAAAATACTTCAAAATTCCGACAAAATATATGTAAAAAAAATGTGGATCGCCAAGGGATAAAAAATTAACGATGACAACTTGAACTGGGGTATTATGAATCTTATTTTAGATACATCTTATACAGTATAGGTACTATATATAATTTAGTATAAGTACTACTAGCTGACCCGGCAAACGTGTTTTGCTATATAAATTATTTGTTGGGTAGAATAAATGTTTGGGGTGGACCATCCTTAACTTTTAGGGGGATGAAAAATAGGTGTTGTCCGATTCTCCACCCTGGCCTATATGCACACAAAATTTCACGAAAATCGGTGGAGCCGTTTCGGAGGAATTCAATTACAAACACCGTGACACGAGAATTTTATATATTAATATATAAAATTATCGTGTCACGCACGCAACCAAGTAAATTGATATTTATTTTATTTTATTCTAACATACTATAAATTATATATTATAGGTACCTATAATTAAGAAATTGTATTTAGATGTATATACATATCATACAAAGACATATATATATATATATACATATATATACACACACACACACATATATATATATATATATATATATATATATATATATATATATATATATATATATATATAGATATTAGACATAGGTGTCATATTAGTAAGGTTGAAGTACATCGATGTAACTATTCACGAGAACTGCTGCGGTCAAACTGCATCACAGTTTAGCAGAGAATAATTTATGTTATTGTACTTTATTACTGGATTAAATAAATTAAAAAAAAAAAGTATAGACTAGGTAGTACCTACATAAATACTGGACAGTAGTAACCTAGGGGTCCCATAAATACATACTTGTTCCATGTGGACATAACCCAAAATTCATTGTGCCAAAATCAATGTATAGGCAGATATTCTATTCTCTTTTTCCTTCTATCTCATTTAAACATATACTTCAAATTAATATCAATCTGAGGTATAAGCTCACACATTATGATTATTATTGGATATAAAAATCCGGAAATGGGTAAATGTCAGATGGTGTTTGTTTAAGATAATTAAACATTGAAATTAAAAAGGCAGAGTAATAGTAGTACTAATATTTATTTGTAATAAAAATGTTGTTAACAAATATATTGTTTACTATACAGAAAACAACAAACGAAAGGTTATGCTAGTAATACAAATTGGGCAGGTTTAATTTCATATTTATGTGACAATAATTCCTATTACAGTATATCAAAAATTTGGTGCACTTTAATATTTATATGTTATTTTAATGCAGCATATTACTTATATTTTCAAACTTTCCTTTTTCTTTTTTTCTTATGTGCAGTAATACTTTCTTGTCCACTGTCTTCTTCACTGGAACTGTTTGTAGAACTACTGTCACTGTCACTACTAGAAGAGCTACTGTTAGATGAACTGTCAGATGCAACACCTGTACTCTGATTCAAGTCCATGCTGCTTGCAATTTTGTACAGCTCGGGGTCTTTGCTTTCAAGTGTTTTGACCCATTTCTTGGACAACTTCGGACGTCCACGTACTGTCTTGTGCCACACCACTGGGAAGTTGGTACGACTGCAAAAGTTTTGTGTAACTGCTACAGTGTCATCTAAGTTCAGAACAACATGCCACCAGCCCCCAGGCACAAATACTGTTTCTCCTGGCTTTTGAAGTATTTCAACCTGCAAAATGTTTAAATAATATACAACTAATAACATAACAATATGAAGTATTTGTATAAAATTTGTTTTTAATATACATTTCACTTATTACAAAAAATGTTTTACACCAAGAAATGTGAAAGTATTAGACTAATATATTACATACTGGTTTATACTCTTTTGGCCATGTGTCCAACTGTGTTTTGGGATAAATTAATTTGAACCATGTGATAGCTTCATCTCTTTGCTTGCCGCCCATGGCACCTGTAACTTTGATAAGCTCTCTGGGCGTTTGTGTTGGGAACAAGCACCATCTCTTGTGACCAAAGACTAGGGCATTCCAGGCACTAGTACCCAAAGGATCTATATGTATCCCAGTTCCTGATCTTTGTGGACCCATGACAAACCACCGGTACGGTGGTCTTCTCTCCTCACCACAATACTTAAATAGGTCATCTCTAAAATATAAAGGGATGTCATAGTCTTCTAGAAGTTTTTTCCTTCTTGGATGTTCACCAAAGCTACTATCAAAAATATATAGAGGACTGTCATCAGTCGTTGTCCTCATGTACTCTACATAATACTTCATTTTCATCTTAACACTATAACCCTCATTATCTTCTCCACATTTAAATTTTTGGTTACGGTATTTTTTGGCAAGTCTTTCCATGGTCCACTTATGGTTGGCTCTCCAGTTTGTCTGTACATTAGTTATCACTACAGGCTTATAAATTTTTTCATATTTTTCTATAAATAAATGTTGTGGAACTTCATTTACATTAATGCGGTCTACATTGTCATTGCATTTTAGGAACTCTTCAAAATTTCCTGCATATCTTAAAGCTGTCCATTGATGTTTGTCAGCTAATTCTGTAAACATAAATTAAAATTCAGGCTACAATATTTTGACAACTTAAAAGAAAACATGACCTTTAATACCATACCAATAGAATAACAGTATAACATTTTATCAGTGATAAACCTTGCATTGGAATGTAATGAAGATTAACAAAGGCAGTTAATTTAATCAACAGTTTCACATGAAATTTAATCATAAAATTCATTATATTAAAATTACTACTTTTACAGCTACCCAAAAATTAATGATCGAGATTGCTGTTCGATACGCGTGACTCTTTGTAGATCTTTTAATCTTCATAATTCGACCAATATTTACTTCAATCTTCTTTGCCACCAATATAATTCAATTGCATTTGGTGAAATGAGGTAAAAGTATAGCACGGCATTAATTAAATGTATCTAACATTTAGTTATGAGTAATTTCTCACCGGGTCTCGCTTTCCTCTTGACTTCTTTGATACGTTTTTTGGCTTTATGTGATAATTTTAAATCGCTATTCATTATGGTATTTCTTTATAAAATATATTTATGTAGGTATTCAAGTCTACTTTTCGATTGACTATTGGTTGTCAAGATTGTTAAAAGCTGTGATCACTTGAGTGATGTATTCGTATTCGGTGATTGTGAACCAGTGAACCTTGAATGAATGAATGTCTGATATCTTGGATATTTGCACATTATTCTGATGGAATTCGAAATATGTTTCAAATAAATCAAATTATAGTTTAAAACAAATTAACCGTACTCTTAAAATAATAAATATTAAGTTAAAATAATATGAACTGGTTTAAAAAAATATATATAAAATGACACAATATTGTCTATGACTAAGGATTTTATGATATTTTAGAGTATAACATGATTTTTGTTTTATTGACTAGAAGTGTATTAAAACTGTATGTACGGATTTAAACATTTTTGATTTAATAGTTCAAAGTTTCAAGTTTTGATTTCTGTTTAATATATCTGCGACCCGCAAAGGGAAAGTAGTGAAGATAATATATGGCAATACAATTTTAATTTTCGACGCATTGGTGTTCAGACTGATAATTTTGGAATTTCGTACTATAACCGAAATATTTTCAAACGTTTGTGTTTTTTTTTACCGTTTAAGTTTAGATATAGTTAAAACAATTTTCAAATCAATTACTTTTATTTTAGCATATAATGTCGTGTGATTGATTTGACTATTGTAGTCTCATAGTGAAATAAATTTCAAACGTTCCAGTGTGAAGTGTGTAGCTAGCTCAATATAACTGTCAATCTGGGTGTAGAAATTTATTTTTAATTTTCACCGGTTCTCATGTGTAATTTCCGAATGTTTTAAAACCATCTTTAACTATAATTCATTACAAAATAATGTTATATAGTGTATGTGGTGCATAAAACGGTGCGAAAATGGATGACGGTACAGTAAATATCCAGTCCGGAATTAACATCAACATAAAAAGAACAGATGGTAAGTACGATCTCCTTTTAAAATGTATTATTTTAAGCCATAAGATTTTGTATAGATCTTGCTCTATGGTGATTAATAATTTCTAAAGAGCCTGCGAGAACTTCCTTTTTGAGTTTCCTATATGATTCATATTGATCAAATCAGGCAATCGAATCGACTATCGCGATAATTTAGTTGCGTTATCTATCGTATAGTTTCTTAAGTATTTAGCACTTAATATTACAAATATTTAAAAAAACAATATCATTCGATTGTTATTTATACAAATATGGCATTATTAATATTGGCCGTAACTCAATAAGATCTCTTAGATAATGTGACAAAATATTAAACATAGTTATTTTTAGTTATTTGTGGAACAAGTATTTAGTAAGCGTTTTCAAGACTTATAATTGTTTTGATTTGGTGGATATTTGTCTGTAAAGATTTGTGAATTGCATATTAATAACTAACTATTGATGTCTAATCTACAATTCTATGCTACAATTTTTATCAGAACACAGTTTTGTTTAAACTTAAATCGGCAATATGTAAGAAAGAATTTTTAATGTCAGTGAAAAACATGTAGAACATCAAGCTCAAACTATACAGCGTGTCTTTACAATCGTGACAGTAAATGAACACACATATAAGGGATAACTTTTTAAAATTGTATTAAACATTTACATTCTTTAAACATCAATATTTACAGAGTTATTAAATTTTCCAAAACAAACAATTTTAGAACATCCTTACCTATAAAACTGTAACGTAAAGTTCATTTCTAAAGCATATGAACGGGTTGAATGAATTAAAAAGAGACAAAACATACTGTTAGAACGAGAGGCTTGTAATACGACGCTGTGGCGCGAGTTGTATAGGATGTTACAAATTTTTTTTCTTTTTTACTTAATTAGTTTGTTTGAAAAATATTTTTTTTAATTATGGATTTTGTTTAACGTTAATATTTTTTATGATTATGGGCAAGTAGCGTTAGACGTGTGTTCATTTATTGTCGCGATGGTAACGACACGCTGTATAATAGTTTCTTGGCAAATAAAAGTTTAGTAAACCAATTATGTATTAATGCTGGTGATTATTATGTATTACATTATCACTGCACAATATATATGGCTATGCTTATAAGGAAATGTATAAAATTGCTCATTTACTTTTATTCTTTCCATTCCAATATGGAATATTGCATCGCTTAAATACTTTTCTTTTAGTATATTTTTTCAAGGCCATGTTTAATTTTAAAATTAACATTAAAATGGGCTACAATGCTTTATTGAATATTAGGCTTTAATGACTCTGGAAAGGTTTGACTAGGTGAATAATTGTTGATCAGCAAAAGAATCTAAATCATCCCTTTTTGGTGTTATAAGATTGATACTTACTAGGAGTGTATTTTGATACGCATAGTGGTTTGGTATACATAGTATACTTTATTTTAATGTGTTTGATATATATTTTATTTGAAATGTCTATTTAATTGTAATATAAACTTTCTGCAATGGTGCATATACATTTCTTCTTTTATCAGGATAAGCACCAGGTGAAGAGATTTTAATACATATGACCACTGTCATCTGTCACAACTATACAGAATTTTAATGTTTTCGAAATGCTTTAAACGTAAGCTTGAATTGTAAATTTTACCCAGCTTACAAACATGTTCTTTTTATATTAAAATGTCTTTCGTATTCCACGTAAAGATATAAGGCTCGACGACACTTGTGCAGAGGCAGGTTTCGGCCCGGCGAGGACGCGGCCTTGCGTCACGCGCTCCCATATAGGGCATTGCCTGTTCTCGTTGCGCCCCAGCGATCTTTCTTTATTTTTTTTAAATCGCCAAATGCGGCATAGTGGTCCTGCCACCTGAAACATATTGTTTCGCTCGATTGTCCATTTATTGGTTATACATACGAAATTCCTTTCATGAACAATTTCTGTAATTAAGTTTTCGCTACCAATTTAAGTATTGGACGAAATAATATTTGTTATTGAGTAACGAAATTTTTCAACAACGTCAATAGTTGGCATTTAGTTTGTGGCTTTGCACGCGTGAGTGTTATAAAACATCGCACTCCCATATAAATTTAGACTCATATTGCTTTGATTCATTTATATGGACCCTCGTGCCTTTATACATATGATAAAATCAAGTAAGAGTCCGTATAATTTTTATTAACCTCACGCATCCTAGAACGGCTTCCACCTCTGAAATAAACATCGAGGTCTTGGTTCGTTATAAAGAAAACCTCACGAATGGGAGGATTATACTTTCGCGTTTCGTTTGGTAGGTCTGGTGACTGGGGCCCACTTTTCAATGTTTTCAAAGAATCTGCTACCCGTCAGGTGTTGTAGATGTCCATGCACGGCGGTAATCACTTAACATCAGGTGAACCGTCTTCTCTTCTGCCAACTACTAACACGAAAGACTGCCTTTTTTACGATAATTCGTAACGCGGCCGTTGAGGGTTTGCAAAGTCTACTATTCGACCTTTTGTCAATCCGATGCAATCAACTTCTTTGAAATGGGTCCACAGATAATGGACTATTGTTGGATGAATTTATTTTTATGGAATCCGTCGCTCACAATGACGGGCACAGCTGCTGGCACATACAGATGACGGTAGCCTGTATCGATGACATCGATAAATCAAACATCTCTCTCCTCCTAGCTATGCAGTGTTATTATTATATTATCGTCGGGATATTTAATTTGAATGTCGCACGATGTAATCCGTTAAATATTTAGTTCTAAAAATAATGTAGGTATAGAGCTAAAGACGTGAAAATATTAATTTGAAACACTTGATAAACACACAGCACAAAAAAAAACACAAAATCGACCAATGTTCAGTATTTTGTCGTTTTTACCTTGTGATCAATTAATAGCTCTGTTAACATGGCCACACCCGTTTTTCATCTACATATATATATTATATTATTAATATTATTAAAATTCGTGAAAAATGGGCGATAGATGTTCGCCGCGACGGGAATCGATATCGCGTATTCTGGAATCGCGTCCAGACGCTTTATTCATAGGCTTAATGGTTAAAGAAAGGCGGCGGCGAAACAGTTTTTGTCCAATTTTCTATAAGTTTTATTGTTTCATCGTAAGTGCAATTATTAGCACTATAAGAACTTAATATAAAATTTTAATAACTATTACATAAAGTATATAATAGGTGGTAAATTATTAATGCTCGTTAGGTCGGTCGTCAGCTGATGGTGCAGGAAGGCGTCAATAAAACCGCGCGCATGCCAATATGAGGGCAAGGTTATGGTGACAGCACGTGGTTGCACGCGATCGATGCGTACAATCATTCCCGGTTCCAGGCGTCGGAACTACTAGAACAAAAGTATAATTCTATCGGGGACTCTAACTTTAAAAATTGTAAACCGAGACAATGCTTTGTACATGCCTGTATTGGTGTTATGCAATGATTGCCGGATGATTTTCTTTGGTTGTTAGCATAGATAATATATTCGATACAAATATTAGATATACGAAGTTACGTATAAAAAGTATCCAATAATAAAATAACCGTTTACTCGGTAAGCTTGGGAATGTTGCCAGAACTAAATATCCCACCGTTCACCTATAGGGGATGTTTGTATTAACCAGGTGATGTTACACTTTTGCGTTTTGTCTGGTGATTGAGGTAACCGGAGACTACTTTATCAAAAGGTGGCAACACCTAAGCAACCCTACGGTTGCTGCAAATGACCATCGGCGGCTGTTATCACTTAAAGTCAGGTGAAATACCGACTCGCTTGCCATCTTCTTAGTTAATTAAAAAAGCAAATTCTACAGGCTTAGTGTTTAGACATGTGAAATCTAGACAATATAGTGCCGATTATGTTTCTATAATGACTGTCCTCTGCTTATTAAATTTATCTTTTAGTTGTGTTCGTTCTTCACTTCGGCGTTACCTTTGCTCCGTTCCGCCGAATCGATACCGATTTGCTGAGTGGGACAAACTCATGAATTAAAACATAACAAGCTGTACAAGGTCAAAGAACTTTAGGATATTTTCAAAAAGAACATAATATGTTCTAGATAATAATGTTCTAATAGATAAGACTATGCACACATCGGAATATTAGTCCCATCAATTACACACTTAAGTAATTTAACGTGCAAGATAATTTGGGGTCGATGTGCAAAATCTCGCAGTGTCTTGTATCAATTTAATGTGAAGCACATTATTGCATAGGGTGGACATCTACAATATTGATGGGCTTAATTTAATTTTTAAAGCGTGTTAATTCAGACTCTCGACCACGTTACTAGCAACTGATGTTTCAGACACGTATTTTATGTAGTAAAGTAGTTTAGTAAGTCGCGGGGTAAGTATTCCATCTCGGCACGCGTCGGGGGCTATTCAAAAGCAAGCTATTGGGTCAAGTGTTGTCCACTTCAATAGCTCAATACTGCCCAGGCTCGACCTTCCGCTGGATTTACAGTTTCACCGCACTTTTTAACATTAATAACTTATATTCAATTATTTTAACATTTTTTTCTTTTCTGTAGAGTGACTGCATCAAATGCTCAATACTACCCAGACTCGACCTCTATCAGACTCTTTATCTACTTGTATATTTAATTTTTATTATAACATTATTAATAGATTAACATTATTAAAATTGAGTAGACTTTTATTGACGCAATTCTTTTATCATGAGTTGAAACAGTAGAATGTTTGTATAAGGTCGTTGTTAAAAACTCTAAAGCAAAATTACTAATAACATCTCTAGTACAGTTTTCCAAGACAACCAACTGGATTATCATTTCATTTTTATGTATCAACATTATACATACGACTTGTTTGATTTCATCAGTCTCCGTTACATTATTCATTATCAACTTTCTCCTCTGTGACATTCAAATTAAAATCCGTGAAACCAGTTCTGTTACGATATTTGACATTGTTCGTACTGGCTCTATCGAGATATTTTTATTAGCAACACGATACATAAATTCAGATATTTAAATCGCGTAAAAA